CAATCTTGTGCCGTAGGCAGCAGGGTACTTGCCATCGGCGCAATTCCACACACAGCCGGGGGATGCCTGACAGTGCCATTGGCCCGAGATCTTGAAAGGATCGTGCCGTGCAGAGGCCACACTACATATCTGGAATTAGTCCCTATTCACAAATGGTAATTATTGACATGAGAGGTAATAGCTCCTATTTGCTGATGGTGGTAAGATTTGGTTCAGTGGACCTTCCATTTAAGGAGGGTGCTCACATTACAGTTAAGGTAATTTGGGCTATAAGGGGTATACCCCCTGTTCAACGCTGGCAATTTTTGATCACCAGAGAGCCCTATACAACGACTGAACAGTAAACCGATTCTAGGGGAATCGGAAGAAGCCGCTGCATGGCAATTCTCACGAGCACAGCCACCACAACCTGCTGTTCAGTGATCGTCCTTTCTCGCTTTGTTCTCTACGAATCCTTGCTATGTTGTCCTAGGATTCGAGCTTTCTTCTCTATACTGATCCTTGCGACTCTGTCCGAGGATTGGTCTGTTGCTATTGCATAGCTGCCTTTGCCTCGCCACACCAGCTTTGCTGCCACGACCAAGGATACGTGTTTTGCTAGCAGTATCTGCAGCTGCCCTGATCCTTGCGACACCGTCCAAGGATTTCCCTGAACCTATTCTGTGCGGTGCTCTGTTCACCGTGCAATATCAACCACCTATTTCACTGCTGCATCCCAGTGCTCTCTCTTCAGTCAGACCCTCCAGTCAGACCTTTGTCCAAGGATACATGTCTGCGTAATCAGCTCAGTCAGTTCGTGGTCAAGTCGTCCGAGTATGTGTCCACACTCAGATTGTCCAACTGGGAAGCTGGCAAGCGTCCAGATACACACAGAGATGCCTGAGTCAAGCTGAGTCAAGCTCTATTAATGCTAAGGAAGAGAGCTTGACTCAGGAGCGCATTTTCGCTCTTCTGGAAGCGTGGGAACCAACTGTACAGTATGGGAAATGGAAGGGAAAAGCGCAGAGTTAAAGGGGCTAAGTCACCAGGGTAAAGGAAGCCAAAAGCGAAGTGGTTTCCACCACTAGCAGGGATGCATGCCTGGAGGTTTTGGTTCAATCCCCAGTCAGCGCACTTTTTACCTCCAATACAGATTATGCTGATCATGTGGTTATGTGTCGTACAGACCTCATTCCAAATGCACATATGTTATAATAGACATGCAAACCTGTGTATTTAGCTCACCCAACCGTCAAACTCTCCCCAACAATATAAGTATCTATGTTTATGAAAAGGAGCCTCGAGACACCCGGGAAATGGCTTGGGCTGAAGACTCAACTCCGTGGCAAGCTTGGGTTGTGCAAACCCCTTTCATCAAGTGGGATGGGCCATTCGAACGCCTGGACGTAACCAAGGCCTCTGTACCGCTTGTCAAAGGTCCGGGAGGGTGGCATCTACAGGAAGGCCTACTGAAAAGATGGACAGAACTCGAGGAGAGGCTTGTTGAGCTGGCTCGGCTGTTTGCCACTCGATTATCCCTCCACTCCCTCTCCCTCAAACCTTTCTGGCTCCCCACTGAATTTGGTCTACGAGAGCCATTTCAAGGGAAAAAGTGTGGATGGCGCGTTATCCGTTGCCACGATGCTTTTGTCCCACTCGCAGCCTATGTTAGTTACATGGCAGCTATACTTGAATATAAGTGGGATACCGTGCAATACCAACCAGGATATATACCATCCAAGGCCTATGAGATTGCAGCAACTGTCTTGCCACCTGATTGGGTAGATACTCTATTTGCATCTGCGCTCATGTCTGCCCCAGGCCCTTCCCGTGCAGGGCTGGTTATCATACAAAAGCATCAGTGGTGGGATGACTTCCCAGTGATGGCATATGCGGATGTACCACTTTTCTTCTACTGGTGTTCTTACGCGAATTTTGCTTGGACCCAGTGGAATACGACCACTGCCCCCGAGTTGTGGCCCTATTGTCCAACTGTCGAAATGGTGGAAAGGATGTGCAGGGCTACACCAGGTGTCCCTGGAGACTCCACACTTTCACCTCCGCCACTCAGGAGTCTTTTGTCCAGTGGTGATGCCCCACATGCAGGCACCACATCTTCATCTGCCAGACATCTGGTCAGGCAGAAGATACCAGGAAGTAGTGGCCAGTACGAGGGAGAAAAAGTTTGGGAATTCATGGCAAGGTGGGACAAGGAGCGAATGAGGCGCTTCACCTCTGCTAGCAGTAGGCAGTTGCAGCAATGGAGGTTGAGGGAAGCTAACAGCAAGACCTTTCCATTCCCTGCAAAGGCCAAGGTTTACAAATGGGTCAACATTGATGAAGTAAAGCCTGTACACCTTCGCCATGTGGTAATGCATAGTGACGTTACAGAGGAGTACTGGGAGTCCTTGGATAGGTCCAGATTGGTGTTCAATCCCATCAACAATGAATGGGATGTCGACGATGCAATTGATCCGAAGCCGGTGACTGCGAGGGGGTATGAGTTGTTGGATGAATCGGATGAAGAGTTTTTTGGCGATGAATGGGGTGGGGATAAGGTTGTGGTCGCTCGGAAAACAGGTCCATCAACTGCTGGTGCCCCTGACCTGCCTGCTCCCCTCCCCCCACTGCATCTCGTGGACACCTTCCTTCAGCTGGTTCTCTTGACTCATCCTCAGCAGGATGGCTCCTTCCCCGACCCCCAACTGCACCTCGTGGACTCCCTCCTTCAGTTGGTTCACTCAAGTCATCCCCGGCAGGGCAGCACACTCCCCAAGCCGCCGCTGCATCTCGCGGACACACTCCCTTGGCTGGTTCTCTCAAATTGTCCTCGGCAGGCCCATCTCAGAATCGAGGAGCATCCACCCATCCTAACCCCGTCATGCAGACTTCAACGGTTTCTCCCGGTCCACCCCCAACAGCCGCATCTCAGGCTCGAGGGACCCAGGGATCCAGCAGACATGAGGTATATGATACTCTCACTGTGTATGATCAGCCAACTTCTAGCTATCGCCATCATAGGCTGGGCCACATTACCAAGTATCGCCATCTTCCTGCCAACATTGGTGCCATTCTCACGCTCCGGTATGGACTTCTTGCGAGTCCGGAAGGCCTTCGGCTTGATATAGTCTGGGTATCCTCACATCCGGAATTTAGCAAGAAGCTGTCATCCTTCATGGTTGAGAAGGCTTCCGGCGCATATTCTCAGGAGTTTATGGACAAGGTGATAACTTTCATGAAGAATCTATGTACAGGTGGGGGGCAAGGTACACTCTCCCACTGCGATCTCACCCAGGGGCCACTCCAAACACCATTGAATGTGCGCCGTCTGCCTGCCGATGAAACTATATATTATGCTATGACCCCTCCTGATGGACCAGGTGTCTGGGTGACTACAGCAGTGGAGGTTTGCCATATCATACGACTCTACAGACACATGTCATCCTGCAGAGTTGTGCAGCCTGACCTAAGGCTGCGCTTGCTGGATCTAGGCATTCCTTCCCTTTGTCCCTGTGTTTTGCCACATCCGCAGAAGACTGTCGAACTGGGGTCTCTTGTACAACAACTGGTGCTATGTATCCCAGAGAGACAGCTTTATCGTCAGTCACCCTCACAGCCGGGCTGCGCTACTCCTCAGCGGCATGATGTGGTGCCTTGCACTGGATGCACTCCATGGCACGGCAGAAGATGTCGTGTGTGCTGGACCAAGTGAAGCAGCCATCGAGAATGGATTTGGCCGTCTGGTCACCCATGTGGACGGTACCTCAGGATGGTATGAAGAGCACATTGATCCTTTGGAGGAGGCTTGCATCATTGGCACTTATTCCGTCGAAACTAGTGAGTGCTCAAGACATCTTGATATTTAAATGTCCTGACCATGTTTCTTACAGGTCCTGGACAGTGGGCTGAAATTTCTTGGTGGCCGAAGTCAACAATGTGGAAATGCTGCGGCTATGGCTCTCCCGGCTATTGGACCAACGGGGCAGAAGAGTGGTACCAAAATCGGCTTAGGGAAATCATGAAGGGGACTGCTCAACCCATGTCACAGATGCAGTGGCGCTCCTTTTTGTGCAATAATGCTTCTGCTGTGAGGAAGTTCAGTGGTCAGTATGAGTTGCACTGCAAACTCTCCGTGGATGCCCATTGAGTGCCCATTCCCTCATCATCTGTATGTGTCTGGCTTGCGGTGGCATAGCACCTTTGTATTTAGTCATAGCTCATGTTCGCCCCCAGGTCAGCCGCCGTCAATATCTGTAAGTGGCATTATAACGCATCTGACACAGTGCCCAAGCCATATGCCACCCTCCCGCAGCCATCCCCCAGGCAAACAATCACCAAATATAGGTGACCTCGGTGGCTATGGTGCCACTCAGAGCATTTTCGGTCGGTTTTCGGACAATTTGGACAGTCAGTCAAGTAGTGTCCAGTGCTGTGCTTGCCCTGGTAATGGTGCAATGGGTCACTGCTTGCCCGGGGGATGGCTGTGGGAGGGTGGCATATGGCTTGGGCACTGTGTCAGATGCGTTATCCAGTGTTTCCGAGCCTGCAGGTATCCCGGGTACTGCAGGGTGGAGTGAATGAGATGTTTTGGGGATGACTGGTGCTACACCAGCAGGGGGTGGTTGCATTGGGCTGTAAATTGATACACATAATTAGACATGCTACTACACTTTAGGGAGAGTGTGCTCTGAGCCCTAACCCCAAAAACGATAGTCACTGGGGGTCTGCATGAGGAGTACTACCCAAAAGTAGCATTTAGCCACCGGTTGCTCAAAACCTTCTGGTGCCTTATGTAAACATGGAGCCTACTGGTAGATGACCTTGTTTCCAGAAGGGCACATTGTGGAGCATAGTATCAGTGTAGGAAAATGCGAAAAACATGTCCAGAGCCGGTGGTGAAAAATAAATTTTTTGAGGCAATGGACAGCCAGTACAATATACCTACTACATGTACAATCCCCATCTGTCACCCATCAGGACCACATGCTTCAACAGTCACAAGACCAGCAGAAATAGACCCCAGAATCATAATGAGAGCAAAATTTGAATTCTGAAGGTGTACCACATGCCCTATTACCATATTTGGTAACCTATTACATGATGTAGTGATGCCATAGTGAGCCTGTGGTGCTCCCGGGATCACCTGATTTTTCCTTGATTTTTCCGCATTTCTTCCCATTTCATATGAGCTGCAAATTGCTGCCCTGGGGTTACCTGCAGATGCTCCCATGCTATTTATAGCTCTAATAATGTGGAACCTAGGCTCAGCAACATATTCCGATTTTTCCGCTATGTTTCGGATTTTTCCGGGCCCTGCAGCTGCAGAATTAGAGGATCTGCTATTAATAGCCCCCTGGACCGTTCCCCGGGGATACAGATCCATCCCGATCCCAGTCATCAAGCCGGGATGCCGGGGCAGCCAGGTTCAAACCCAGCTGGCACCTCTCGGGCCTGCATTAGCATAATGCATCACACCCTCATCACAATGCCTGGGTAATGTAATACATTTTGTCATTGCAATGCATCTATAATGCATTATTATTACAGCAGCGGCTGCGTCGCCCTTGTGCCCAACCTCCAGCACTCACTCCCCCTCATTTCCATCAAAATACCAAAGGTGCGGACATATACGAGTCACCATGAGGCCAGCATCAGTCAGCGAGCGGCCGGAGGTAATTAGCACATGACCAGCATGTGGCGCAGAGTGACGGGACTGCTTGGGTCAGGTGGCGGAGTGTCGAGGCGACCTATAGGGGCTGGAACGAGCAAGTGGGAGCGCAAGGGAGTCGTATGGTGTATGGTATAACAGAGGCAAGTGCTGAGCAATCCTGTGGGTAGCGGTGTTTATTTGTTATTTATCTCCAGACAGTCGCAAAGCCATTCCTGTAGTATAAATTGCACAAAGTAGCATACAGAAAAACAAGTTTTGCACTTCACCATCTCAGAGAATTAGCGTTACGATCTCAGCTACCTTCGAAGTTCGAAAGCGTCGAACTTAGCGAATTATAACTGATCCTAGCTTTGCCAATAGGCCTGACTCGTCGAGTGATTTACCTCCACTGTCGATTTAATTACCTCCGGTGAGTCCTACATAGCGAAATAAAGTTAACCAAGTCTCTCTAGCAATTTCTACCCCCACGAGCATGATCCTATGACAGGTGTCGTTGCTTGCAACTTTGATTGCGACTTTCCGGAGATAAATCCTCCAGAGCGTCAACTAGTGTTTGTTTCAGGTGTCAAAGCGTTTGTTTTATTTTTCTAGGTCTTCCTATGGACTACCCTATGTTGTCTTACTCCTCCTTCCCCCTCGAACTATTAAAATACCCCTCAGTTGTCTCAGACCACCTCCACCCATACCACTGGTGTTAGGTTTATTTTCTTTTGGTCCTTGGTGATTGTTGTGTGTCTGTGCATATCAGCGCAAAACCGGTCCAAGTTAAATTCTGAATTCCGACTGGTCACAGGGTATGATTCTGGCTCTGAAATTTTGATTTGGGCCCAGGGCCGCATAGAATCTGGGATTTACAAATGAATTCCAGGCTCACTTAAAGACCATTTGGTATATAATTTATGTTATCTAGTTCAGTGATGTATCTGTGTAATAAATCCTGTATAACATATTCGACTGAGCCTGAACTTTATATGGTGGTTAAGCATTCATTTCGATATTCTGGCCCGCCCTAAAGTTTTGGAAGGCTCTTGTGTGAGCATGAAGTTGACGCGTCACGCGAGGCGTGGGAACACCCGGGAACCTCTGACCATATCTGCCCTAATAAGGAAGGAAAAGCGTAAAGCCAGCGGAATAAGTACTGACCACATACAGTGTATTGCAGTAGCTCCTGTAGTTCATTGACTGTGATTAGTACACAGTAATCTACCAGCCTATCTTAGGTTACTGCTGTATTACAATAGTAGGAACTACTTGTGCAGGCTGAGAACCAGTCTAGCAATAGTTTGGGACTGGTCCTAGCTGACCCACCATCCAGTCCTTGTCCTTACATTTGGAAAGCAGTCCAGTCCTAGTCCTACTCCTGGTCCTGCCAAATGCAACACTATCTGTTATTGACCTTGGTGCAGTTGAAAGCTTGTCTGTTACTGCACTGTCTGCAATGAGTTATACTTGACAATATATTGTGATAGCTAGATTGTCAAATCAAGTCTGACCTATGATCCAAAGGCCCTGAGAGATATCTGTGGCCTCTGTGATGCAGAGTCAACACCAGATGCCCTAGGTGCTAATGACTGTCTCAGAGATTCCTCCAATGCTTCCCTTTTGTGTACATCAAGTTTTGCTGTAGTGGCCTTGAAGGCTGCAGGATATGAGGAAGCATATGACAGCAGTTGGGAAATGCATAGTGAGTGCAATGGAGGGGGTGAACTAGTAGAATCCAGCAGCAAAGCAAGTGTTGGCAAGAGAATTCCCAATACACAATGCCCTGAAACACTATTAGAAAGAGCAACTCTCAAGACATTGTTCCACATACGAAGATCTTCAGGGACAAGGTCCATGTAGGAAGAAAAGGCTTTCAAGGTCTCTGCTGCACCTTTGACATGCACATCTTGTACAGAGCTTTGCTTCAAATTGGCAAGGCCCAGCAGATAGCCAAGGAGACTTGGGATCATTAATCTTGAGCAGTACCGAAGCACTGGAGCACCTGAAGCAGAGGCCACAACAAGAGTCTTTGCACATTGTACAGCTGTAAATGACACCTGAAAGCATAGTTAGTTTTTACCAAAGCAATGGAAGATGGAGATAAACCTCATCATCACCCATCAGGTGCTCAGATAAAAGAAAGCAGCATCGGTCCACAACTGGCTTCCCTAATTTGAGTGTTGGCAGGATAGAGGTAAGAATGAGCACCATGGCAAGAAAATTGTTTCGGATAACTTTGGAGGCAATGGATCCCTGTCGCCCTCTAGTAACCATTGTCAGTATATGAGTCCGGAAAAGCCAACGCCACATACCTCATGCTCTCTATATTGATGAGACATGCTGAGAGTATGCCCTGTACTGATTGATGATATCTCTCTTGCTGGGATTGTACACCTGGGGGAACATCGAGGAATGACTTCAAGCAGAGCAGGGTTGGGCTGACAAGATCAGTATCTGATGATTCATCCTTGAGAAGTTCTATGATGTTCTTGAGCGGGTGGTCAATATCATTACGTTAACGCAGACTCACCAGCATAGAGACATATGCCAGCTGCGCGCGCGTCTTCGTGCACATCGGCTCCCAGTGCTTGCCCGATATTAGTAAATGCTGTAAATGCGGCACGAAGCAGACTAATCCGGTCACTCAGAGCCGTGGAAGCACCATCTTTCAACAATGCCGTGAGCGAGCATATGGACAGAAATAGTATAGATACATACATGGGACGGCATCACGTATTCCGGGCAGAGCACGTCGGAGAATATGAGCGCAAATTTGCAGACAACGAGCGCGAGGCATATCCCATGATAGCAGCCTGTGACCATCCGTCAATCATAGGCCCCCTTTCGCAGTAGAACTCTTACCCCGCAGTGTTATTATGTGACGTAACCAGGCTCGTTAAAGCCGCAAGAAGGTGTATCTGAGCCTGAGGTGTCTCGGTTAGGGATAGTCGGTAACAGAGACCTACGAATTCTTCGAAGATATTCGATTGGAGTAAAGCTTCTCCGCTATATTCAGGTTTCACCAAACTTTTCAGCGCTGACAGTGCGATTTCCGAAGTGCGCCGGGTGGCCGGAGCGGACGCAGCATCGACGGATGAGGACGATAAAGCATCATAAATGAGGCCAAACAGAACGAAAAACATGTACGTGGGTTCCTTCCGACGCGCTTCAGTTTCGGTGGAAGCAGGGCTGTTCTCTCGGCCATCCATGGATGCAATGATACCAGGGTCTCCCTTGTCCAAGGCGGAAGAGACAGCATGCAAGATTACCGTCCAGGAGTCGGCATAATACTAATAATATAAGTCAGGGCATCGGAATCATCTTGGATGATAGGAGAAGACTGACCGGTAGAAGGACTTCGCGTCCAAGACTTGAGTATGAAGAGTCCAACGTTAATGAAGACGCCTCTTGAGCAACTTCCGACTCGCCACGGATGCTAGCGTAATCACGCAGGGAACCCAACCATAGCGACGCAAGGGTTGGTCGGTAGGGCTGCAGTATCTCGCGAAGATAAGGTTGATGAGCACTCGCCACCTCAAGCTCGGCCCAAGCAGATGCGGTGGCTACTCGAAGCATGGCAGACGCGTTGGGACTCAAGGGTCCAGCATCGCCCAATGACAACGTTCCGGTCTCTGCATAGGCAAGTCAGGGAACTCGGGAAAGCCGGAACTACATACAGAGACAAACCTGTTGTTTGGTCAAGTGCTGAGGTCAGTAATTTTAATATCCGGCCCATTCTTCCCGCATCTTTAATCACCCCGCAGCCTACAAAGATTGCACACGTCCCAATAGCCGATGCAAGGATATCAGGAGTAGACTCTGACGAAAACGCCGGGGTGAGCGCTGCAGTTATTGGCGCCTGATACTGCTCCAGCAGAAGGCAATCCTCATAGTCCGGATCTGGTGAAGTAGCAAAGACCTGCAAATTTTCAAATCATCGATATCAGACTCTGTTGCTAACATTCGGAAAGGAGTAGCGACCTTAATGACGTCGCGGAGGACAACGAGGCCTTCCAATCTGATTTCTGTGACGTACGCTGCGGAAGCCGTGAATGCCATTCGTATGAGATCTGCTACTCTCGACACCAACAGTGTCCTGACTTGAATGCCACGGGCCCGAGCGAAGGGTATATCGATTTGTTCTCTGCGCCCACTTTGAGAAACAAGATTGCAAATATCGTGCAGACACTGGAGTGCAAACAGCTGCGTTCTCCATCTGCAGGTCGAAGGTGTGTGCCGCTCGTCTGCGTTCGCAACGTTACCGCCGACATTTAAGGACTCACCCTCGTCGTCGCGAAGATTGCCTTTGGATGCAGCATCGGCAGCCTGCTGCGATGCAGTCGTCCGGGACATGATTCGTTGGCACAAGTCGATCCAGGCAGACGGATTATGGACTGCAGTCTGCATTAGCCAGCTAGCGATGACATTTCGCACGCCGTCGATGGAAGGATCATCGTCGAGCATGGCAAAGAGTTCTTCGACAAGTCGATCGCCGCCGACCCTCGACATGGCAAATGCATCTCTCTGGACCAACTGATACAGGGCATTTATAGCAGCAATTTTGAGAGGCCTACGGGAAGAAGATAGGTGCCGGCTGAGTTGCTCCACGAGTTGAGTTAATGGCGTATAGTCCGGAGCAAACATCAGGGAGTGTTGTATGCACTTGATAGCTTCTACCCGAACGCCGTCGTCATCCTCGAGGGAGAATGCCTGGACAAGATCGAGGATCAAATTGCGAGTCCGGTTGGACTCCTGCATGTCTGGACCTAGAACAGTGATGCTGGCGTCGATTACATGACAAACGGCCTGGTATGCTGGCAGATCACCCTTCATGTTGGCCATGGTCAGGGCTCCGGCTTCCGACTCGTGAGATTCCAGCAAGTAGAGCTTGAACAACATGGCGATTGTACTAGACACGAAGGGAGCGTAAGCCAAACTTGCGGCAGCAATCACACTTCCCAGTGCGTCAAGGGCATGAAAGTGAACAATAGGATGAGGATCGTTGCTTAGGGACATAAGGATATTGACGGAGGTCTTAAGCAAAGGTCCCGCTGCCAGGCCACCCACGTAGCTGTGTATGGCTCCGAAAGCCATCGCGCATCCGGCTCGTCCATATGGATCTCGATTACCCACAACCTGATCAACGAGTTGTTTGATCTGCTGAGCCAAGAAGGCAGTACCAGCGAGACTGGCGAGGCGGCCGATTGCTTCACTGCTGGCTTCCCTTAGGACTGGATCACCTTCAATAAGCGCATCCTGCGACGCAATTAAGTAAAATGACAAGAAATGAGATGAGAACGGGAAGCTCGAACCTTCAGGAAGGGCGACAATACCGAAGTAACTTGGGCACTCGCGAAAGTGTCTCGTGCCTGGCGATCCACAGTCAGAGTTCGGCGCAGGGTGAGCGTTACGGCGACTACAGCGTTGATGAAGACAGCAGCCTTGCGGCCTACGTTCCTTTCCAGCTTATTGGAGCGCACCGACTCGACAAGCTGACTTAACGCTTTTACAGAGGAACTGAGATCCTGAAAGGGGAGCAGGAGAGAAAAAAGCTCCACCGCGGAGTCGACAACAGCCGTGACGGCTGGAAACGAGTCTATGCTGTCATTTCGGGATTGACAAAGCACGAGCGGGTCATACTCGCATGAGCCGATAAATGGTTTCCGGTACTATAGATGGTTATTCATACCGCTCATACAGCTATAACGAAGTCTTACCAGATCGTCGATGGAGACCTCGATGCTATCGCGATTCAAGCGGTCTTGGCGACTGGTGGCAGATATCGCGTCCTCATCGCGGCCGATCTCAATCCCGGTCACGCCATACGCATAACCATCGGAGCTCTGCCATACAGATGTGAAAGATCCTGCTGAAGCAGCTATCGCAGCTTGAACACCGGATCCGCTGTATGCGTCGGGGCCAGCGAAGATGTTTACAGCAGACTGGAGAAGTGCCCCTTGGGTGGACTCGCTGATAGTAGAGAGACCAAGAGCACTGAAGCATTGAAAGACACGACGACGCAACAAGGCCTCTCTTGAATGAAGACTCAAGCCCTTGCTGAATAGCTGGCGGTATTGCTCGTCCAGCTCGTTCACGTTCTGTGAGGAGAAGGCGTTGGCGAAAAGGAGGGCGTTGGTCAGGAGAGATGATATGCGCCTCGTCACGTCTAGCGTGACAAGGGAAGGGATGTTGTTCTGCAAGAAACAATATATAGCACCCAACGCGCTCTCTCTCACATGGATCAAGAAATTCCATTCCGAAGCGCTCCGGCCTGTAGCGGTAGCCGTGTCCTTGCTCGTCGGCTTCGGTAAGGCATTGCGCCACAGAACAAGCAGCTGCGGCAAGTGCGGACGGACAAAGTTGGGACCGAGCGTCGTCAGAGATGCAATGCAAGTCCATGCTATCTCTACTTCCACAACGGCAATATCAACGTCATGGTCTCCGGCGCGTTTGAGGAGCTGTATCGCAGTGTCAAGTACCTTGGCACTGATTTCATACGAGACATAGAGCGGGCGCTGTGGTATGAGCGCCACCAGACCAGCGAGGCCGTATGCATGTCCCAGAGCACGAGCGTTACGATCGGTAGCGCCTGTGGGGACAGTCAACGAATTGATATCCCGCTGCAGCAAATCGATCACATTGAGTAGAACCTTGGCCAGCTGTGTAGGAGTCGATTCGCAGAAACATCGCAGAGCCCATGCTGCATTGATACGAGTTGCATGCTCGGGGTGCGCCAGTAGAGTAACCAGAGGGTCAGTTAGAGCATCCTAGCAGAGGAGCGCGCTTAGTCAGTATGCTCGTGATGCCGAGATGGTGATTACCTGCACAGGAGTGGGAGCGTTGCCAAGTTGTTGAACGAGTCCAGCAACCTCCTTCAATATAATAACGAGAACCGACGGATTTGGCTCTACCTGCCCGGGCATCATAGCCGGCCACCTCTTCAGGTACGCACTGGATAACTCCTGGATAGCGCTGATTTGAGCCTGCTCATTCAACATCCGAACACCGACTAGGTCTCGCAGCACAATGCCGACTAGTTTCCTGCATAGCAAGTCGTCGTGCTTGGTAGACGAAGCCCGAGGATGTGATATGATGTCCATCATGAAATGGTGCACGATCGTCGAGTAGTTGTGTTCTACGAAGGTAACACCAAGCGCTGAAATCAGGGCGCAGTAGAAGTCGAAAATTCCGATCCGGACTTTGCGAGACGCATTGGGCTTATTGAACTGAGCCGAGAGGACCTGCAACATTTCCTTGGGAGACAGGATTGTCTTCAGGGTCTCTGATCCAACGTGAGCAGCTGGAGTCCCGACTTCGCCATCATCTTCGCCTTCCTTCTTCTTCGGGTCGTGAGCTTGTGGCACCTCAACTTTAGTTGACGTCAAGACCTGGCCAACGAGTCCCGCGAGCGAATGCCGAGTAATCTGATCAGCAGACTCCAGGCTCTTGGTACACAGAAGAACGATGGCTTCTATATCCGCTGAAGTGCGGATATCGGTGCCAGTGCCATACATAACCATGAGTACCTAGGAAGCTCATGAGCAAGCACGTTAGGGATGGCAGGGAGGAAGTGATCTACTTCTGCGGCGGCCCGTTGGATTGGCAACGCCTTGTCACCCAAGCCATGTCTCATTTGCTTCAATATATCTCTTGTGGCATTGTCCGTAACAGCCCTCCTAGCCGAGACCAATGACTTTCGCAGGGCCCTAAGTGCATGGTACCGCAAAGAGATTGACTGTCAGTGATAGGTGTCAGTACGGATGCGTACGTCATGGAGTAAGCAAGTTCGATGCTCACGTTGGAAGACCTGTATATCTTGACAGTCACCGTCCCTATCTCGGCCATGAAGGACATGACCTGGGCAAACAAACCTAGTTATAATACCACAGGCACGCGCACATTCACCGACATACCTGAGAGCCGAACTTCAACATAAGCTCCCCCACACAGTATAAGGCTGCACTGTGCATCGATTCGGTCAGTCGAAACAGGAGAATCCCTATGAACATGTACTTGCATCTTGCTGATGTCTTTATCGGTCGCCTTGAAATCGCCCACTATGCTCATGAATTTCTGTACAGTATCAAAGAGAGTCCTGGCCTCCGTAAGAGTGTACAAGGAGATAAGGCATCTCGCCACAAGGTTCCTCAAAGGACGTCCAGGAGGTGGATAGGGCGCAGCTCCGACAATGGTCTTCACGAGAGCACTTTCGAAATCGGCCTGGTGAGCTTTCAGCTCCTCCTTCCGACCACGTTTTAGCGCCGACAGAATACTGAGTTGTATGCGCAAAAGTCTCACCGCCGGCATATCCTTCAGCGACTTTTCCAGATCCGAAAGCCATTGGAACAGGTGTATGTCGCCGTTCTCAGCAGCCAGCTTTGACTGAACAACAGGTCAGTGTCATGACAGGGTAGACAGCGCATATCGTCTCGCCTCGTCGAGCAGCCTCCCTCCGTCGGTTGATTCAGCCATGTTCAGACAGACGCGTCGAGGCGCAGACTTGATGGCAGCGCGAAGCGATGCTGCTGTTAGACGCGTTACTCGAAAGGTGTTACGTGATGGCACGATCGAGATCAGACGCGCCGGCGCCTAAATCAGCCCTTGTACGGTCCCTTCGCCTGCTCAGCTCATCTTTCTCAATTGGAGCCTACAACGAGCGTTGGACGTCTTAGGTCTGAATACGCTAGCTATTCGTTATGAGCTCGGTTGTACCTGCAAAGCATGCGAGCTCTAGGTCATCCGCGTCCTCGATTTCAGCGCGAAGCGACAACGACGGGTACCTCTCCCTGAACAAGTTCATACTGTATGAGAATAGGCTCCGTTTTTATATTGTCGCCTCAAACGCCTCCGATTCCCGACACCGCATTTTAAAGATTGATCGTTGCTCTCAAGAAGAGCTCGTTGTTATTGAGGACGAAACAATATACAGTGGGAAGCAGATGACTGCCTTGCTGAAGATGCTGGATGACGGGAACAAGTCATCTGGAGGCCTGGGAAAGGCTCGAGTGTTCTTTGGACTGGTCGGTGAGCTGCATCTTGAAAAGTATGAGATACCCAAACTGAGGTTATGCCCGGCAGGATTCATGCGATTCACTGCAGGGTGGTACATGGTCCTCATTTCCAAGCGATCCGTAGTCGCTCTACTCGGGGGTCATTATCTATATCACTGCGAGAGCACAGATATAGTTCCAATCTCTTTCAACCACAAGCTTGAACGACCGGCAGAAGAACAGAGATTGATGAATATCTTCAAGCAAGTAGATATGTCCAAGAACTTCTATTTCAGGTAAACTCACAATTAACCTCGAAGCCCTAATCTGACCTATCTTAGCTACACGTACGATCTGACCTCTACCTTGCAACATAATATGACGCAGCCAGACGGGCATCGAAAGGGCAAAGTCCCTTTTAACGATCGTTTCGCCTGGAACTACCATATGCTCACGTCTGCATTCGAGGGCCGAGATCGTCCTTCCTTGAAGGCACACTGGCTCTTGCCTCTCATCCATGGCCATGTCGATCAAGCAAGTGCGTCGGCTCCTAGCCATAACTTTATACTTTGTGGCGAGAATAATTGTGTATCGTCACAGAGTTGACCGTACTGGGTCGCGTTGTCTACGTGACATTAATTGCTAGACGATCCCGCCATTATGCGGGAGCCAGGTATCTGAAGCGTGGTGTGAATGACGAGGTAGGTCACCCTCATCTAGACAACGGTTCTAATTCTTACTGTATTGCATTTATACCAGGGCAACGTCGCGAACGAGGTCGAGACGGAGCAAATAGTCTCAGAGGCTTTGACGACGCCGTTCTACTATCCTGCAAAACGAAGCTCTCCTACCGGCCCGCAGGAGCGTCGACCCAATCCGCATTACACCAGTTTTGTCCAGGTCAGTCGGGCCCGATTCCATGCATGCGTAGTGAGCATTGACGAAACATAGTATCGAGGCAGCATTCCCATTTACTGGACTCAGGAAACAAGCAGCATGACTCCAAAGCCACCGATTGAAAGTAAGTCATACTTCGGCTTTCACTGATACATCCTTCCATTTCTCGACTTCAGTCAGTGTGGTCGATCCCTTCTTCACCGCTGCTGCTCGGCATTTCGACGACCTCTTCGAGCGTTACGGGGCTCCTATTATGGTGCTGAACCTCATCAAGGAACGTGAACCGCAGCCGCGGGAGTCTAAGTTACTCGCCGAGTACACACAATGCATAAATTACCTCAACCAGTTCCTGCCTCCTGGAAAGCAGTTATTGTATCGTCCCTGGGACATGTCAAGAGCTTATAAGGAGTGGGCACCTATATCACTTGCGCTGGGGTCTTTGCAGTGTTTACATTTCTCTTCCCCAGGAAGACTCGGGATGTGATCGGTTACCTGGAAGACATCGCGGAAGAAGCAATCCAGATGTCGGGTTTCTTCCACTCGGGTCCAGAGGCATATTCACATGAACTGAAGAACAAGGAAAGGTGAATGTTTACCTGCTGGTTTCTCATCACTTAGCTAAGCTGTGAATAGAGGTGGCCCGGAGCTTACCTGGCGCAACACTATATCCTTGCAGAATGGAATTTGTCGCACAAACTGTGTAGACTGCCTTGATCGGACCAACGCGGCGCAATTCGTGTTTGGGAAGCGCGCTTTAGGACATCAGTTATATGCGCTGGGTGTAGTCGACAGTCCCAACCTAGTCTTTGACTCGGATGCCGTGAATATGTTGACCGAGATGTATCACGACCATGGAGACAGTATGAATCTCCCGTTATTCGGAGGAAGTGCAACTTGCTGATCTTCTACCACCTAGCCATTGCATTACAATACACGGGCAGCGCCTTAGTCAACCGAGTCGAGACCTATCGACGCATGCCTCACTGGAACAGCCATTCGCGAGACATCATTGAGAACTTCCGTCGATACTATACGAATTCTCTCCTGGGTACGTCTCCCTTTTATTTGCTGGTCCGAACGAATACTTATAGATGCTCGCGCCTTCAGATGCTGATAAGCAGACTGCTATCAACCTTTTCCTTGGAGTGCAGAGTGAAAGGCCCCTAACACAACCGCCAAGAAGAGGTGGATATCGTCAGTGGTTCCACCCCGAACATCTGGAGCCCCCTTACGTTCTCGGGCGATGTGAGAAAGGTATAAATGACTTTGCCAAGCACAAGAGCGACTTCTGGGTCGAGTACTATCGGCCCCTGCTGTTCACGTCTTTGGGGAAACACTTTGCTTATTCTATGAACAGTACACTCAAGCTTCCCGGGTATGCTTCGTGCTTTGTCACTCACGACACATGGAGACTAACCGTGAATCGTCGCAGGAAAACGGCGAGGGATATCAACTTCAGCCCATTTGTCACGCAGAATACGAATGGTGTACATCATCATCCACGGTGCGACCTGCGGCAGCGGTTAAGAGGGCGTATCTAACAATTTTATAGCCTCATGGATGGGGTGCGACGATGGATGGGCGGGGATATGACCCCAACTCGTCGCCCTCATAGTAGGGCTGTTCAGAGGACTGAAGTGGAGAAAGCAAGATCGGACACTGAAGACATTCACCACTCCAGCAAGACGCTCGCCCTGCACCTGCTTGACCCTTGGGTACCGCCCGAGGAAGAATCAGAGTACCAAGGGTTGGTCTGCACAAACGTGATAGTTGTTATTCTTCTGAAGTGCTGCTGTTTAGGTATATCGACCAATGTCAGGACTTGCTGGTGGCGTCAATCGCTGGAGAGGAAGAATTAGAAGAGAAAGACATCATTCGATACCATTCGTCAATCAGTGCTGGAGCTGGAGAAATTCTGGAGGTTGAGGATGATGACCTGGATACCTTCGAAGGTTATGTGCAGCGTGGGTTGACGGAACATGCCCGAGAGCCGCTGTGGAGCTATGAGAGATGGATGGCGGACACGACTAGACCGGGCTGATACGCTCATTATATGTAACAGTAGGAGATCCGGACTGCATGATTAGCATCACTTTTACATGAAGTTGAACACTGGGCCTGGAGGTATTAATCCGATTTTGCATGTCTAGAGCGGAGCAACTGTCGCCCAATACGGAACCACCATACGAAGAGCGAAACGAGACCGAGGCCAATCCCTAGACCTACGTGGATCATCATATCCTTTCTGATGAGCACGCTCTTGCCGTCCGATTCCAGTTGCTGCTCCACTCCGATGTGTTGCGCATGCCATCTAATCGCCGCGACCGAGAGCGCCAGGGTCAATAGCAGTCGCGAGTCGGGCACAATATACTTCCAGCGAAGCAGGCCAGCGGAAGAGTGAGATCTGAAATAGGCGGAGATGAATGACGCGCAATACGCGATGCGGCTGAGCAGATTGATGATGTTCGCATATACCAAAAATGTGTCGCGGAAGCCCAGAGAATAAAATCCTAGGGCGGAGAGGACGTATAAGACGGAGAAAGCGGTCATCCACCTAGGACTTATTCAGCTCGACGTATTGATCAAGTGAGGCATCATACGCACCTGCTCTGGTTGTTAAAGTCCGCGGGGTTAGCAACGCTCGAAACGAAGGCCTCTAGCCCTCCATTGACAGCTAGCACAGGCATATACCATAGCCACGCCTGGAGCACGCGCGCAGCGCTGGTGGCGAGGTAAAGCGGAGGGAGCAGAACGCGTAGAAAGACCGGCAGGTATGGTACCCCGAAAGTCAGTAAGATTGCAGAGAAACTAAGCTGGGTGTTGAGTAAGAGGGTGAGGGTGTTCGAAGCCTGCGTGAGGCTTTGGAGATCGCTCCCTTTCGAAGCATTCGGTAGGTTCGGCAGGAGCTTGGAGAAATAGACACGGAGGGTCTCCTCAATTGGTTGGAAGATGATCCTAGCGAAGAGGGATCCTGCGTGCCTTCAATAGACTGTAGGCACTACTGCAAGCAATATCCACCGACCATAGTTAACCGCCACCGCGTATCCTCCTTGGTCATCAAGAGGACTCAACCTGGACACTATGAGCTTGTCGCCTTCTGTCAAGACGTGCTTGACCACCGATTGTGAGGTCATGGTCAGTGACAGTCGCAGCAGCTTCTTGTCGAACGCAGACCGACTTCCAGTGCGGTATCAGCACAGATGAACGCGCCAGGGAATAGTGCCACACACATATGCTTTGGGGATAATAGAGCTGTCATTGACTTCGGCCCAGATAGAGACATGGGGTATTCAACTAGGTACATGATTAGGACGAGTATCGCATACATAAGCTGTCCCATGGCAAACGCGACAAGGGAGAGCTTCTCCTCGTCAGACTGCCTCTTGGAGTCGATGAACAGAAGGAGGAAAGTGGTCATAGCCTTTCCGATGACACCGACTGCCTCTGCTCGCACACGGACGTTTGTGCGAAGTTCTCCCATGGCTCTACAAGATAGGTCATGGCGCGTTTCAGATATTACCATGCCAACGGGCAATGGGTCACTGACCTTATATGCATTGGCTCGCTCATGAGTTCGATGAGAGCCGCGAGAGCGTAGGTGATAATGGACAGCTCAAAATGGGGCTGATCCCGAGTTCCAGATGAAGACTGCTGCCAGTACAGAAACGACGTCGTCAAAGCCAGAGGTACCCCGATCATCATAGGCAAATACGTGAGGTTGCTCATGCTCTTGGGCACCTGCACGGAATTGGAATCTGCGCCACTCCCTTGCGTCTCCGGCACGTTTGTAGGAGACGGCCACACGCGAAGCAGGGTATTCCGCACGCCCTCACGGCTGAGAAAGAGGATGGTGCTGAGCAGCAATTCGAAATGGATTGCGGCAGTGCCAAATGCGCGAGGGGAGGTCATCCGGAGGAGAGCCTGGTTGAGCGTGAAGGTAACGAGGCGGACTGAGAGCTGCAGGCCCATGAGGAGCCGCACCGACGAGAGCGACGCCGCCGACAGCGTTCGCGTTTTGTTGCCAGACATGTAGGCCGTCGTCGTCGTCGAGGCCGACAGACAAGCTGCTGAAGTCGACGCGCTATTCCTGGGAGAGGTTGCCACGTGACGCGACAGGCATCAGAGATCCGTCAAAGGCCCCGGACTATACACAGGCTTCAGCTCTCTTTATAAAGCGCTGTAACCAAGGTCCCCCTTTCCCATCTTCAGCTTCAGCTCCGGCACTCGACCTCTGGCAGGTTTTCTTCATTTTCACTTTCACTTGCTCAACATGCGGTCTTTCCTTGTTCCCGTTGCTTTCGCTTGCGCGCTCGCTGGTCGAGGTGAGACAATTGACTGGATCCGCGAAAGGAGGAGTTCTGACCGAGAGATTACACTGTAGTGGCGGCTCTGAGCATCGCTGTAGCCGGTATCAATGGGAACCTTACGGCGAGCCAGTTTCTGGATGTCCCTGAACCCCTGAAGACACAGGTATGTACGCTACACAGAAATCACTGTCGGCGGTATACTCATGTGAAGGGTACAGTGCACAACCCAGTGCAACCCCGCTAACAACGCCATCCAGGTATGCTGAGCCACAGTTGCGCCAACTGTACTTCATGCTGAGAAAGTTATTGAAGGCGTGCGGCACCGATGATGCCTGTCTCTGCAACAACGCCACGGTCTCCGCGATTACTGCTTGCCAGCAGTGTATGTTCAACCAGCTGATTGCAGAGAATATCCCGATGCCTGACCCCCGTGCTGGATCGAGCGCCGCCCTTACTGGTACGTAGTTGACTTCGACGACGCTTTTCAGTCAGTACTCATCCTTGGAATAGCGTACGCCACTGCTTGCGCCGGGGTCGGACAGGTAGTCAATACGACACAAGTGACACTGTCGATTCCCTCGAACTGGGACGGACCGTTTGGTGTTGGCTTGAACACTGGCGGTACGGTCGTCACTGTTGCTGTTGGAGGGTTGCTTGGGTTCGGAGCGATAATGATTCTATCCAACATGTAATGGACGTGCATGCTGTGCTGTGCTGTAGGATGTCTTTGTCAGATACTGTTTGCAACATATTGAGCTCGGATGTTTTCTTGGGATAATGTCGCTCTGTGGTTGGAACCTGCGAACGCTGATGGATACGAGCTGTGATTGGCTGAGGGCAACACGTGGCAAGCACGCGGGTTGATCGAGCCAATGGAGGCGCCGGAAACTTTGCAAGACTTGAAGGTAGTCGCCGGCGTTGCTAATCTTGCCTGGACGATGTGCAGGTAGCCCGGGGCTCTGCTAACACCAACTCTGGTCTATGCCAACTCTCTGGTCCTCACTACCCTCGGTTGCTCGCGTACAGTGTTCACTCTCCCATGCCAGTGTATCTCTGCGCGCACGATACCCGACTAGACCAACGAAAACGTGTCAGAGACGGAGCCTGAGTGCCTTCAGCTCTTTGGTGGATGAGGGGGCAAACTTGTCTGCTGCGGAACGAGAGTGGCTTCAAGAGGATGACTTGGCTCCAGACACATCACCCGCCCTTCCCAGCAACGCGCCCAGATACGACTGGAGGTTGAGAGCGCGATCGCGTGTGCGACAAGCCTCTGCGCCCCTCGCTCCCGAGGGATCGAGTCCACGGCGCGCCCTTAAGCGCATACATCCGCCCCATGTGGAGATTTTCCCGGGAGAGCCATTCCATGATGAGATACAGGCGTACAAAGAGCAGTCAGTCCCCGCCATTACTTGCCCGTTTCCACTGTGCCTCAATGTTCATCCACGCAGCTTCTTACCTTTACTAGATGCGGAGCAGAAGGAAGACGAAGCTATCCTGAAAGAACGGCTGTCCAACTGGCCCCTCGATCGCCTCAAGGAAGAAGGATACTGCTTAACCGGACTGTCCGCGTTTTGGCTCAAAGCCACCCAGTTTGGCCGGCCGGTAGCGGCGTTTCTGTTGGGTCCTGGCATTGCACTCCCAGACCATCGGTTCGAGTATGTGGATTCTGATGCGCGGCGTCCTATACAGGCTAATCTCAGTGTGTAGTAATGGCACGCAAGTGCTGGTATCCCGCCTTGACCCCCTGCAAGAGAAGCCTCTCCAAGGTAGCGTGGTATCTCACACGACCACCCAGATCCGTGTCGCCTTCCCAGAGCTATACGATCTTGACGAGAGCGCCTGGCGGTGAGGCACCGTCTCCTTTGCTCTGTTCCTGATATTTATCTGATAATACGCTATCGTAGACTCGATGTCGGCTACACGAATGTCATCTACGAGCGCATGCGGACGGCCATTGGCAGTCTCGTTCACGATCCGGCGCTGCTGGAGAAAGAGTCCGACACCTCCGCATCGGACCGGCAGCTGATTCTGCAAGGCACACACCTCCGTGACAAGCTCCTGCGCTCCTTTGCCTCCGACGAGGATGTCAATCAGTTACAGCCTCCGCGTGCAGAAGACGGAGCCAAGGACGACGAAGATCTCAGTTTCCTCTCCGCCGACATGCGGATCCACAGCTGGATCCAGCGCTACAGCCGCCCTAACCCCGTGGTAGTCGAGGGGGATCCCGTCCTGTCCGGGCTGAACCCGACGCAGATACGCGCCATCGCGCTCATGGTGGGGAAGCGGATGAGTCTCGTGCAGGGTGTACGTAACGCCCAGACCTTCACTGTGGCATTCGCTGACAGGGAGTGCAGCCGCCAGGGACGGGCAAGACCAAGACCATCATCGAAGCGGTGAAGCTTCTCAAGGTGCGCGCGACGACTGCCTCCGGCGCGGGGCCTTTGCAACTGACGCGGTGTGATTGGCAGGTGCACTGGCAGATCCCGCAGCCGGTGCTGGTGTGCACGTTCACGAACGTCGCGGTGGATAATCTGGTGGAGGGGCTTGCGCGCGCGGGCGTGCGGCCGCTGCGGGTGGGCTACGGGAAGGTGCGCACGGCGCTGCACGCGCACACGCTCGAGGAGCAGCTGCAGGAGCACCGGCTCCGGAAGGAGGTGGACGCGCTCGCGAAGGAGGTGGACGAGCTGCGCGAGCAGCTGGGCGCGCTGAGGGGGCGGATTGTGAATGCGATGGGGGCGGGGCGGGAGGCCACGGAGAAGAAGGACGCGCAGTTGAAGGCGATGGAGAAGGCTGCGGTGAGGATGGAGAGGAAGGCGAGGAAGGCGAGCGCGAAGAGGTATGCGATGAGCCAGGAGATGCTGTGGGATATTGTGACTTCTGCGGACGTGGTGAGTCGGGGTGTGCGCGCGACTTTATGGTGGTAGTTCATTCCGTATTCGCAGGTGTGCACGACGTGTGTCACTTCGGCATGCGCGGCGCTGAATATTATCGATTTTCCGATGGTGTTTCTCGACGAGGCGTCCATGTCGACTGAGCCTGCGTCGCTGATTCCCATCATGAAAGGCGTGAGTGGAGTACAAGTTTCCTCGTCATGTGTTCTGACGGTGTTTCAGTCGCAGCAGGTTGCGCTCATTGGTGATCATAAGCAGCTGCCCCCGGTGATTACAAGTGCGGAAGCGCAGTCGATGGGTTTGGGAGTGAGTCTCTTCGAGAGGCTTACTGAGGAACGACGTAAGTGCACGAGTAGTCAAGTGATATTTTGTATTGAACTATCGATTATGCAGATGTTCCTTCCATCATGCTGGACGTCCAGTACCGGATGCACCCCGCGATCTCGCGTTTCCCGTCGATCGAGTTTTACCAGTTCTCTGTGCAGGATGGTACGGTGGAGTCTGATGGGTCAGTGCATCCCCGATTGCTGCCACCGGCGTCGAGTCATTTGCAAGATCACCCCGAGACGGGGCGTCGGCCGTCGGTGATCTTCCTGGACCACGCGGGGTCGGAGACGTTGAAGCATCGCAGCCGGGTGAACTGGACGGAGGCGGGGATCGTGTGCAGCATTGTGGAAGACCTGCTGCTGCAGAACGCGGTGCGTGCGGATGGGGATCACCGCTTGGAGAAGAAGAGGTGGCTGACATTCGTGTGATTTGTGTGATCGTCGCAGGGCCTGCGCGGGGAGGACATTGGGATCATCGCGCCGTACGCGGCGCAGATCTCGCTGCTGACGCGGCTGTTGCGCACGGACCACCGGTACCGGACGCGGTTCACGGCGGTGCTGGGGGAGCAGCGCGCGATGCAGCTGGCGCATGTGGAGATCAAGACGGTGGACGGGTTCGAGGGGCGCGAGAAGGAGGTGATTGTGTTCTCGACGGTGCGGAATAACGCGCGCGGGCACATTGGGTTCCTGGGGGACCGGCGCCGGCTGAATGTGGGGCTGACGCGGGCGAAGAGGGGGTTGTTTGTGGTGGGGAGCCTGAGCACGCTGCGGGAGGGGAAGGTGAGCGGGTGGGAGGGCGGGGGGAATGTGAGGGTGGGGAAGGGGGCGGAGGCGTGGCGGCGGTATGCGAAGTTTTTGAGCGAGGAGGGGTTGGTTGTGCGGCTGAGCGGGGAGCGGCTGAGGAAGACGCTGTACGGGAATATTACCGACGCTGATGTGCTGAAGCGGGTTTACTGAGATCTATTGGTGTAAATTATGGTATATACGAGTGTTATGTTACGGTGTATTCGGATTGGGCGTTTCATGTGCTGGACAAGGCTGGTCGCGAGGGCAACGGAGGGTGGCCCTGAGTAGCGCCACTATGACAGGAGCGTGTGCGCAGCAACGCATTTGTGGCACGAAAGAGGGTAGATTGGAGGGATCTGACCGCCGCGGAAGTAAACTCGACGGCCATTCGAAGCGGTGCTGCGGCTGTGCTCGCGATGCGGATCGGGCGTTGTTGTGCTTGCTCGCCTCCCGCCCGTCCCACGACCCATTGCGCCCTCGCCCGGCCCTTGCGTCCAAGCCTTGGCGCCGTCCATCCACAGACCGACGACAAGTGCGATCCCGAGCACGCGCTGGCCAACTCGCATCCCTGCGGCTGAACGATGGCGGGTCAGCTCAAGACCGGAGAGACAGCTCCAGAGGCGAGACGATCCCTTCTGGAGGGGATCCCGGTGGAGGCAGCGGGGGATGTCAGACGCCACATTACGAACGCCTGCTTCTGCCGCCCCGTAATGCGCATCTCCGCCCTTTTGGCAATCCGTCTGATATATCCCGCCCCGTTCCCACTCATCCTTCATCCTCTCCTCACTTCCCCATCTTCTTCCATACCGGCCCCAGCTGCTTCTCGCCTTGTCTTTCTCCTTCAAAGGCCCGCCCTGCGTCTCACCACACTCGACACTTTCTCTCCTTTCTCGCGCCATGCTCTCCTGCGCTCCTTGCCGTCTCCCGCCACTCGCCGCCCCAGCGACGAATCAGCGCTGGCCGTCCCCCCGCCCAATCATACGCGTCCTCGCCCCGGCTGACGACCCCCCGACGCGTCCCACCATTGGACACGCACACGAGGACCAATACCCTCTGATCATCGATACTTTCCAGCCGACGCCGCGGCTCTCAGTTGAGCAGCCCAGCGGCCGTACACACAACACCACTCCAGCTTACGAGAACTTTCTGACCGAGCGCTCGCGCGTCCTGCGGGTGCGTCGTTTTACCACTCGCTGCTCAAGCAGTTTTCCGTCCTATACGTTCTAACACACGCTTCGCCGTTTTATTTTCGATTGCTCCCCGACGTGATCTCGTGAAAAAACGGGATCGATCTCTTACTCATCCCCCGTTCTCGATTACTTGCACCTGTCCGCGGTGGCGCTGCTGCTTCTCTACGACAATCGATGGTAGCTCTTCAATCTGCCGCCTGCCGCAGCGTCATTTCTCTCTGCCGTGTTTGGCCCGTCGCTCGACGTATGTTTTGCCGCCTCCAGTGCTTGACATGCAGTTTATGTTTTGTCAGAACAATGGCACGGCCCCCGCGACGCTCTGGACCGTGCGCGAGGACTATCCTGGACCGCGCCCGGCCGAGGACGACTGCGTGTATGCGGTCTTTAGGACACACGAAGAGGTGAGTATGATCTTTGTTCGGAGCCGAGTGCGTCGGGGGCGGCGTGGCTTCCTCGCGAGTTCCCACGGCGCTGATCCGGATGCCGAGCGCGGCGCCCGCCCTCACGTGCTTTCGAGGCCTGTGATTGGGCAGTGCATGTGTGACCGGGCCAGGAACGCGGCGCTCGGAGACGTTGTTCGGGCGCGTCATCGATTGGATCATGGACGTTCTCGGCTCTAATTAGCGCTGTCTCTGCCATCACTGCCCGTCTCATTTGTCACGGGCGGCCTCCACGACTATAAACTCGCGCCGCCCTCGCCGCGCCCATGTTGCTCGCATATTTTCTTCTCTTTTCCCCCGCTCACCATCTCCCGCCAGGCCCGCGCTGCCCTCGCCCTCGACGCCGCCGCCCTCCTCAGCGTCGCACCCGCCCGCGAGCACGACCTGTTGCCCTTCCAGAAACTGCAACGTTTAGACCTGCCCGGTCCGGTGCGTCTTCTCGACCCAAAGTTGAGGCGCTGATATGAACTGATCATATCCGTCCCATCATAAACTCGAATCCCCCGTTCTAGGCCTCCCCCATGTACGCCCTGCACCTCCCGCCGTCCCCCGCCACCTCGCTGCCCCCACTCTCGCCAGCGCGCCCCACGCGTCCGTGCCCGACACCCCTCAGGTCCTCCGTGTCGACGTCCGACATGCACACGCGCGTCGTCCACGACGCCACACGCTTCGCCGACCGCGCCCCCGCCGCGTACACGCTCTCCAGCAACCCCCCAGCGGCTCGCGCGAGCTTCCGCATGGGCGACTGGATGTGCCCTGCCCCCAACTGCGCCGTCCACAACTTCCAGTGAGTCTGGCTCTCTCCTTCAGATGGCGATCTCGATCATTGTATTGGCGCCACACCATCGTCGATCGGGGGTGCCACCCTCGCTTTCCTTAGTGCTGATAGCGTCATCTGAGACTGACGCCTGGTCTCTGTCCCCTGTAGGCGCAATCTATCCTGTATAGGCTGCGGCTCTCCTCGCCCCGCCGACGGGTTCACCAGCCCAGAACCGCGCTCGCCCCCCGCCTGGACCGCGCAGAACCGCGTCTGCCCCTCCCCCCGCTTCATGGGCGGCATGCATGGACCCATGTCCCACCCGCCGCCCGCGCCGCTCGACGACCTCAGCCGCCTCGTCAAGTCGCACCCCGCCCCGCACGCGCTCATCAGCCCGGGCACGCCGAAAACGCCCGCGTACCCGATCCTCACCCCGTCGGGGCGCGCGCTCGCCGTGGGCGGCAAGGTGCAGAACGTGTCCGCGGACCCGTTCACGCCGTGCCTGATGTGGTGGCCCGACAACGAGCCGCTGCCCGAGCAGAGCCAGATCCGGCCGAGCGGGCTGATTGGCGTGCAGGTAGTACGCGTTTCTGGGTTTCCAGGTGATTAGGTGGCTGATGGCGTTCTTTGTTCTAGCACCCGCCCATTCTGAATACCGGGAACCGTGGCCCGATCGAACACCAGCCTGGGGACTGTGAGTGGCTCCCGTCCCGAGCTTCTTCCCGGTCGAGACTGATTCGGCGCTTTCATTTGAAGGGGTGTGTGGAAAGTGCAGCTATCTCAACTGGAGACGCCGTAAAGTGTGCCAGACGTGCTTCCCTTGTCAGTTCATATTTAATGGAGGGTGGATCATGACGCTGATCGGCAAACCTTGCAGATGCGGAGGGCAATGGTGATTCCATCTCTGCGGCGGTCCAGGCAGAGCGTATTGCGCTTCTTGCTTCTGTCATCGCGAAGGAGACCACAGTCTCCTCGCCTCTCTCCACCCAGGCTCCTCTGACCCCGTTGCATCACACGCAGTCTCCCATCCCTCATGTTCCCCAGCCGCGCTCTTCGCTCTTTGTCGACATCTCCCCGGAGCTCCAGGGCAGCCGTTCGCGAACGGACTTGCCGCCTGACGATACGTCCATGTATATGGGCTCGCGCACCATCTACCAGACTGGTGGTCACCGCCAGCCCAGCCCCCCATCCCCGATTGCGCCTGCCAGGAAGCCGGCGCCGGCGCCGAGTGCCCTGCTCCCATCCTTCCTGCACGACATCGTGCGCTCTCCGTCCCTTTCGCCCGCGTCGACGTCGTCTGCGTTCTCTCTGGAGGAATGTGATGAGGGCTTCTCTTTGCACGCGCATCCCCGCGGGGAGGGCCGGGATCGTACGCTCGTCGCTAAGAGCTCGTTCTCCAGCCTCGGTGGCGGGAGTATCTGGAGACTTGACGGCGAGGAGAGCAAGGCGCTCTCGTCTGTCAGCCAACTCGAGAGACAGCTCGCAGTGGTGGATATCAAGTAAAGGACGGTGACCTCATTATGGGCGGAACGGTGTGGGGTTGTACATATGAATCGTACATGTGCTGGAAGGAGGAACCAAGGATCGCAAGAACAAGATTCTCGAGGCGGGGCGGGGCCGCGTAAAAGCATATTATTTATAACATATCTCTGATCTCTTTTTCTCTCCCTGTTTGGACGATCTGCTGCTCTTTTTGCATCGCTCTGCTGCGCTGACTGATTGACTGACATAGCCGTATCCTATATTCGTAAAGTCTCTTCCTTCCTCCCAAGAGCTCACTCAATATCTCTCTGGATCTCTCAGAACCCTCCCCGTAGGCCTCTATGGCTCCCGCTGTTGTGATACTAGCTAGCTACTTTAGGATCTCGCCGATGTGTGCAGGCTTATCCTGTTTTTGGAGAAATGATATGGTGTACGTTCGTATGTCGGGATGCGAGTGTGTCGCAAATCGGGAGCGAGTTGTGATTGGAATTTGGAAATGGCTCTGAATCTTTACCCCGATGCGGTCGGATGCGAGCTGTAGACAGCCCTCGCAGGCTGCTGATTGGGGCTGCAGAGGTTGCACGGCTTCGGTATGTGCAGCTGAGATAAGACTGGAGGTGTTCCGCTCTAATCACGCAGGACGGAGGAGCGCCCCGCGCACGACATTATTAGAACATGTTCAGTCAGGTGGCTCGGCGATGGACGGCAGTCAAGAACTCGGACTCTCACTACATAAGGCGGGGAATAGGGACATGAGGAGGGGCACGACGTAACCCGTTACCCTCGCCATGACAAAGACATACCAGATCGCACTCCTCCCGGGCGATGGGATCGGACCCGAAGTGCTCCAGGCGGGCGTCGATTGCCTGAAGGCGCTCAAGGGTGACTTCACTTTCGAATTCACTACATTCGACTGGTCGTCTACCAACTACAAGCAGCGGGGCTACTACATGCCCGCCGATGGCATCGAGCAGCTGAGACGCCACGACGCGATCTACTTCGGCGCGGTCGGCCACCAGGAGGTGCCCGACCACATCTCCCTCTGGGGGCTCATCCTCCCCATCCGGAAGGAGCTGCAGCAGTGGGTGAACGTGCGCCCCGTGCAGATACTGCCCGGCACGCAGAGCCCCCTGCGCGGGGTGGACAAGATCGACTGGGTGATCATCCGCGAGAACAGCGAGGGCGAGTACGCGGGGCAGGGCGGGCGCTCGCACGTCGGGACGGCGTACGAGGTGGGCACGGAGCTCGCGATCTTCACGCGCGTTGCGATCGAGCGGGTGATGCGCTTCGCGTTCGACACGGCGCGCGCGCGGGACAAGCGGCTGTGCATGGTCACGAAGAGCAACGCGCAGCGGTACGGGATGGTGCTGTGGGACGAGGTCGCGAACGCTGTGGCGAAGGAGTACCCGGACGTGAAGATGGAGAAGATGCTCGTGGACGCGATGACGGTCAGGATGGTCAATAACCCTGACTCGTTGTCTACCATTGTGGCGACGAACCTTCACGCCGATATCCTGAGCGACTTGGCTGCCGCGTTGGGCGGCAGTATTGGTATTGCGCCTTCGTCGAACTTGAACCCCGAGCGCAACTTCCCCTCAATGTTCGAGCCCATTCACGGTTCTGCATTTGACCTAGTTGGGAAGGGGGTCGCAAACCCAATAGGGGCCATATGGAGTGCGGTGGAGATGCTGAACTTCCTTGGTGAAACAACAGCGGGCGATGTCTTGATGCGTGCTATGGTGAAGGTCAGTGCGGACGGCGTCCGGACCCGCGACCTAGGTGGCCAAGCAGGGACCAAGGATGTCGTTGATGCCATCGTGAAGGAGCTGGGACAGTTGCAGAGTAAACTGTAATGAATGCAGCGTTAAAAGTTACCGCTATCAGGATGTGTCAAAGCGATGAATATTGACGTATAGAAATGGTCGACCGGCCACTGACATTTGAAAACGAGATCATCGAGAGGCAAACATGCGGTATCGTTACAGGCAAACTATATATCAGCGGATGGTTGCAATCTGAGCTATATTGTGATCCGTACCTTGTAAACACTGCTCTTGTTCGGGTGCCAACTTTTTTGATTTGGCTTTGGACGTGCTGCTCCAGGACCCCCGATAATCAGTATAAATGCCTGACCCATAAGTCGACCCATTTTGTCCGGAAGAAAATCGCCGATTTTGGACCTTTTGTCCGGAAAAAAACAGGCATCACAGCGGAAAAGTAACTCTAAAAGGCAGCTGTGGCGTGGGTACGTCTGAATTTAGCTCTCCCGGCAGGTGCCGGGGTAAATATGGCGTCGAAATGGCCAAGTCTGACCACAATGTCCGGAAAAAAATCAAGCCTGTTCTCCAGAATCGGCCGATTTGTCTGTAAAAAATCAGCCATTGAGGGCTCTAAAGTCCCAAAATTTGTCCGGAACCTGATCAGGCATTTATACCAATTATCGGGGGTCCTGCTGCTCCGAGAGACCCTTATAATAGTTGTATCGTGCCGGTAAGGAATCTCCGACAGTTGGATATCCGCATGACAATCCCCATTTTCTATCGGAGTTACAGGCACCATTCACATTTTGAAGTGGATATCGTCTTGAAGTGGAGGAAGCGAAACTGATCACGAGCACTGCACAATCATTACATGGAAAAGTGTCCGTTGTATTGACCCCAGCATTGATCGCAGAATCGGATTAGCGTAGTGGAAACCCAGGGAACACGTTTCGTGCATGGAAATTGGGCTGTGTATGCTTGAACAGTAGTAGGGACCCCCTACCCAAGTGGACAGGTACCCACCGCAGAGGCCTGCCGTTTAGGTATGACAGAGCCTTGAAATACCCGTTCAGACTTGATGTTTGCCAGGACCCAACCTTGGATTTGCCCAAAGTACCACTGTGGATAGCAACCTTTCCTAGTCGACCAGGTACGGTATATTGCGAGTTCGAATGTCCTTCAAGAGATCAACTTAAATTACCAATGAATATGCCGCAGCTGCTATGCCTTCCCGTGGACTTCCATTCAAGTTCGATTGGAGGCTGGAAAGTAGTGGCAAGATTACGCGAATTCCGCGTAGGCTAGGAAATCGTTCAGGGGGGACGTGAGCATGATACCGCAGCTTGAAGGTGAATGCGGCTACGTGTAAGATCCCTAGAAGCTGCGTATCTCTCGGGCCTCAACTTTGTCCGATGATAAAGGAGCTTGGCAGCCGCTGCCTCGCTACCTGAATGCTATTGATATCAACCAGACTCGGGGATCAAACACGGAAAGACGCCTGCTTAGCTGGCTAGGTAATGTCATACGCCAGCGTACAACAAGTCCCTCGTTTACGCTCTCGAGACACCGGATGTCCCATTCGCTGCATCTGTGCCTACAGCAAGGCTACTAGTACTTGGGAGTACCGCAGAACCGCTCGTGTAGTAATCAACCTTGGGAGGATGGCCGTGTGATTCTGCGTCTACTAGGGTCACGGCATCCGCATCGAGATCCTGCCTCGACGCCTGCATGCCGTACGCAGGACCTGTGCCAGCATTGTTGAATCCGTTATTGGAGGGCTCCGTTTCGCCATCGCCATCGTCGTCGTCGGGGTCGCGGCGACGTCTCCTGCAAATCTTGATTATCGGGTTATCGGTGAAGAAGAATATGAGAGCAAGGAATACGACTGCGGCGACGAAGGTGAAACTCATTGCATATGCGTTCACCATTTTGTTGAAGCCAAATGATTGGCAAGCGAAACGATTGGTGAGATATGAAGTAGATCCTGAAGCGTGATTTGTCAAAGAGGGGAAAGACTGGAGGACTAAGATTTGCTCACCTTGGCACGGGCAAGGAACACCTCGGGTTTGAGAGAATACTGCGTACTTACATGGGGCTTTATATATCTGCAGGCCACGAGCGTTCAAGTGCAGGGTTACCATCCCGTCAGATGAGCAACAGCCTTGCACAGCTATTGCGCATATTAATAGGATCGACCACTATGATGATCGGAAGCTTCGAGCTACATATGCAGGAAACAAGCGTCTGATCTCCTTCCAGGCAGCATATCGGGGCGGGTGGTATGGGCATAGTGAAGCCGAAGCTAGCGCAGAAGTTCGGCAGAGCTTCAAGATGCACTGGAAGAGGCTGCTCCTCATGCTGACAGCTAGGACCGCCGCGGTCACTTCCGGGTACCAAGCCATATGCATGAGAGGTCGCGCGCGAAAGGCCAGAAGTCGACAAGAGATTTGCAATGCTGGTAAACAGGCCAGGTGTACATGTGGGGAATACTTGCTAGGGTGGACTATTACTTACTGACTTGCTTTGGACTTTGTTGAATATGTGGCACTCCGAGGGGGATTGTGCTTACGTAATGCGGATCACATACGCGACGCGACTTGTTCGACGCGTCACGGCCCACTTTGCCACACTTACCATCTCTAACGATTCCTCGTGCTGATAGCGTCTTTCCATCGGACAGCAAGGTTTCTGCAGCACCAAGACTTCTCTCTCTATGCTCACCGCGGACAATCGACTTTGACGAAATTTTCCTGCTTTTGATTCACGAACGCTCCGCCATGACTTCCAATGAACCTATCACTATCCCTATCCAGGGCCCTTCGCGACTTGGCGCCTCGACTTACTTTGAGAAAGTTGCATCGACAAGCGGACATCGAGAGACCCAGGAACCCGAATCTAAGCTTCTGAAGGCCCTCAAGCTTGTTCTCAAGGGATCATCAGCGGTAGAATCCGATCGGTTCTATACCACTTCGTATATGGTTACCACCCCACCATTTGCAGAGGAGCAGCTAAGTTGGAATCTGAATACTGTAGTACTGAGCTCTGGCGGTATCATCCAGAAGAGGTGGACTTTCCATGAAGATGATCAGGCTGTACAATGGGCTTGTCTCGGTTGGTTGGCCCAACCACCAAAGACGAAGATACCTCCATCAGGCCCTGCACATTTTACGGCAGCTACTGCTACTACCCCACCCGATCCCGACGAGCCGAAGAAACCCATCTTCGGGCCATACCATCTCGCTCGAGAAAAGAAGAGGGAAGTAATGGAGCCAGCGCAGAACGTGCGGGGTGTTTTCGTGTTCTTCCGAACCATGGGAAAGATATTCCTCACTAACGGGACAGAATACACCTTCCCTCTTCCTTTTGTGACGCGCAGAGCATGGCCAGTGGCTCCACACGGCGTCCTCATCCAAAGAAGCGTCGACCGTACCGAACTCGCGGAGGCAGAGGCGAGTGGAGAGCCCATCCTTCCGACCATCTTCTCCTTAGTCAATCCCCTGGGTGAAGCTACGCCAGTGGGCGTGACATCTGGTATTATCGGAGGGTTCCATCGGGTGCCAGTGTCGCTGAAAGACGAACAGGAGAACTTTGAGAAACCGCAGAGGTCCATTAATTCGAAGGAAATCGTCGTCGGCGTGCCGCAGCGCGTGACGGAGTCCGAGGAGGATGTCATCGTAACATACAGCCCTGAGGACCGCCGCATAACCATTTGGCGGTACGCCTATCTGGAGATTAAGGATACGCCTGTTCCTCTGCAAGTCAAGGACCGCAAAGGTAAAGGTAAAAGCCCTGACACTACTCAGACTCAGGAAGCGGACTCTGGTCTACAGAACCCCGGCGAGCAAAAGACCCTGGGGTCTGCCTCAACCATGGCGGACATCATGGCTGCCATCTCTTCTCAGAAGGCAGAACCGCCGAAGCCGAAAGAACCTGAACGTAAACCGAAACCGAAACCGAAGAACAAACCCAAACCTAGGCCTGCTGAGAATACCCCTGCTAACGATACCGGTACTCCCACCAAACCTCCAGTGGTGGCGAAAATGGAAGATGAGGAATGGAAGAAAAAGGTGCTGGACCGTGCACTCTCGAGCGGTCCGAGAGCTGATTACGACGCCATTCCCCCTATGCACGGTCGGGGCACTACGCCCTACTGGGCGGAGAAATTGTATATGGAGCACATTCCCGGATCGACGTGGGTTTTGGTGTGTTCTCATCGCATGTCTGATGCTGACGAAGTGCTCCAGTGAACTGAACTGGTCGAACGTCACCGTCTCCATCTTTGATCAGCGCTTCGACGGCCGATGTGAACGTTCCTTGGTCGCCATCTGCATACCGGATACTGAGGACGTCCTCATTTTTTCTCTCACGAAAGTCCATGATCCTCACAGGGTCATAGCACGGCTTCACTTCCGCACTAAGGGAATCTCGATTGCTTCGATCCTTGCCACTCGGGCGGAAGTATTGGATCTCTTAGTGTTGAAGTCCGACAATCAACTTACGCTTCTTACTCATGGCGTTCACGAAGTCGCTATACGCGTAACGGATCCTCTGTTCGATAACTTAGCTATGAATATGTCACCGCCACCTGGTCCTCCGAGTGCCCCTCCCGGCCGGAAGATCGTCTCCCTTCGTGATAGCGTAATATCGTCGGTAGAGCTTCTATTCGACGACCAATCTGCAGCTCGTGTCACCATTCGATTATATCCTAACGACACTTTAACAAAGCTATGTTTAAAGACGCTGACGCTCACTCTTCCTGTGGACTATACGTTCGCCCTACACAGACGCTTCTTGCAGAATTGGTCGACTCGCGGATTCAGTAGTTCGGATGACACTGAATTCGAGTGTTTTGTCGAGGCGCTATTCGTCACCTTCGGGATGGAAGTCACGAAGCCAGAAGCTATGCAAACCACTGCTTGGGATGCGCTGCTGCAGTCATCAACGCATGCAAGTTTCCGGGAGGATCCAGTCATGCGCATACTTCGACCGCCGGCAATCCATAACCCTGGTAAATCTCACATCACTGTGAAGGAAGCGCACATACTTCTTGCCCCGATTCTCAATGGCTTGCATCACCTTGGAGAAGAGTTACGACTTGATGTTACTCTGCACGCATCTCTGATCAAGCTGGTTCCGGTGATTTGTTGCATCGCGGAAGTCATAAGACCGGAATGGGCGGACTATTGGAGGCGATTGTGCCCCACTACCTCGGAGTACCCGGTAGAGCACCCTGATCCTAGTAAGCAATACCCAGACTATGTTTCTATGTCACTGCACTGATTCATGGTCATAAGAACCCATTGATGATCGTCTACCCGTATGGCCATCGGACATGACTGCCATTCTTTATGGCCGCATCCATAGGCCGGACTGGAAGGTGCAGGAGTTTAAAGGTTACCAACTTGCCGTGCCCTTCAACATCGCACCTGCATATATCTATGGCCAGGTCGACCCTCTAATGCGCCTACGCCGGCTCACTTCGCTGTACATGTGTCTAGCGGACGATCAGATGCCCAATAGCCGTATACGGGCAGAGAACGCGATGTCGCTTTTGGTGTCGTGGCAGTCTGGGAAGAATTACACTGCTCGCCTCCCGCTTGGCGTCGCATCTCCTCTGGAAGAGGCAGCTCGCAGTTGCCAGCTATCCCCTCCAAAGGATTGGCCTGCTCACGGATATCGCTTGATCGGTCGAAACGATTTGGCCGAACAGCAGAGTAGTTCCAGGGATGCTTTATCCAAGAATGCGTATAAACCACCGAAATACTACTTGGTACGTTCGCGCAATGGGTTTGGCACCCGGCGTACTGAGCAATCTCTAGGACCGTGCTCTCCCGCGGAAGACATACTCTGAAGTCGAGAAGGCAACGCTGGCGGCGGTGAAGGGCGAGACGCAGGCTGTGACCGGCGTTGAGCTCGATTTGGAAGACTTCACCGATGTCCGCTTTGGCAACGATCGCAGGCTCGAGGAAGTAGCTCACATGCTTAACACTTCCAAAGTAACTCTCATCAAGGTGCTCGAGCGACCAGACTTCAGGTAAGCGTGGAGACCACGATGCTGCCGGTGTGACTGATGGCAAATGTCAGTGACTATGACCGAACTAAAGAGTGCCAACACCAAGTCGGTCGCGTCGGCGAACGAATATTAGCTACGCCATGCGGACGAGCGATATTCACGTACGCCTCGTCGAACGAAGCCAAATATGTTATCCCAAAAATGGAGTATACCGTCCGTGTCCTCCCAGATAATACTGTCTTTAGCGACATTCCAAATAAGGTGGCGCCGGAGTGTGGTGCCTGGGCTGACTTCCACAACGGCGTGGCTGCTGCCTTGCGCATCTCCCCAACGTGCACTTCCATCGATAGTTCCTGGATTGCTTCCAACAGGCCGTCCATCCCCAATCCTGAACATGGAGGATTTTTGCTGGGCTTGGGTCTCAACGGCCACCTAACACATGTGAAGACATGGGATCTCTTTAGCTATCTTACGCCGAAGCATGAACATACCAGTATTGGGATGCTGCTTGGTCTATGCGCTTCTCATGTAGGTACCGGGAATGAACAGATCACCAAAATCCTTTCCTTGCACGCCCCTAGTCTTCTCATCCCTAACACAGAGGAGATGAACGTACCTCTACCACTTCAGACTGCTGGCGTGGCTGGACTAGGCTTGCTGTACTTGGGGACCGCACACAGGCACAGTGCTGATGTTTGCTTGGAACTCATCGGTTCGCGGGATAAGTCCCAGGCGAACCTCAGCAGCGAACATCGGGAGTCCTTTACGCTGGCGGCCGGTATGTCGTTCGGTATGATCATGCTGGGGAAAGGATCGACTATACCAGCGGACATAAAGTACCTCGAACGACTACAGGCCTATATACGCGGAGAACACGGGGCGGCCGCGATGAATCCTTCGTCTGAAGGATCCCCTATTGTCAACCTGACGGCGGCTCCCGCTACAATCGCCTTGGGACTGACATACCTGAAAACCGGGCGTCAGGACATCGCGGATATCATACGGATTCCAGATACCGTTCTAGACCTGAGGCAGACCCCTCCTAGCTTGCTAGTGATACGAACTATAGCAAGATGCTTGATTATGTGGAACAATATTGAGCCCAGCCAAGAGTGGGTTTCAGCCCAGATTCCCGTTTCTATCATCAAGGGTATGCATAACAGGTCGCAACTGAAACGAGTGGACGAGTCCGTTGAACTGGCCTACTACAACATATTGGCTGGTTGTTGCTTCGCAGTAGCGCTCAAATTCGCCGGCACTGCTCGGGAGCAAGCATATGGTTTCATCGCCACATACTACGACCTCTTCACCCGTAATGCGATACCGATGTGTGAGTGCGATAGCCGGTTATATTCCACTTCTCTATTACTAACGGAGGCCGCAATATCCAGCGCACGCATACCAGTATAGGATCAGGAAATCTACTCTGCGTGATGGCTTGAACCTGATTTCCATCTCTCTCGGCATGGTCCTGGCTGGTACTGGCGAGGTAAACTGTATGCGCAGGTTACGACACGCATATGGTGTACTTCCTGGACAAGTGCGTTACGCGTCATATGTGGCTACGACTCAAGCTCTGGGGCTTCTCTTCCTAGGGGGCGGTCGATACACCCTAGGCACCTCGGATGCTGCTATAGCCTGTATGGTCGCGGCCTTTTACCCGAGGTATCCAGCAGGATCCCACGACAACAAGAGTTACATGCAAGCTATGCGACATTTATGGGCGCTAGCGGCGGAGCCTAGATGTCTAATACCGCGAGATGTGGACACTCGAGAAGTGGTCTACATGCCGATCAAGGTGAAAGTGAAGGACAGGGACAGCCGAAACACAAAAGGCGAAGCCATTGCTTCATTGATAGCCCCTACGCTGATTCCGGACCTGGACGAAGTGCTTTCCGTACGAGTCGACACGCCCCGGTATTGGCCCTTCAACATGGATCTGACCTCAAATGGAAAGGGACTAGTGCACCGCGAGGCATTACTTCGTGATCAGACGCTGTATGTCAAGAGACGCACAGCGTTCCTCAGTTACACGGAGGACCCGAAAGGCAGCAGGAGTTTATTTGTTCGTTCTGGCTCTACGACCGCCGATGCAGGGACGCTTGACTTTCCGAAGCTGTCCAACGTGGGGACGCATCCGTCGAGCGACTTGAGCCAGATCATTACCTCATATTCCAATGACGTGCTCTTTCTAGCCTTTGCAGACCATTTCTGTCGCGATGAGGGTGATACGCCGGAAGAACAATTGTTCACCCGGTACTGCCGTGCTGCCCTGATGGACGGCATCCTTCAAGACAAACCCAATGGGATGCAGTCGCATCTGACCTTGTACCACTATCGGACGATGTCGCATCAATCGCAGTTCTTCAGCCTCTGGCTGCAAGACCTGACATTCGTCACCAATTTTTACGGCAAGGTCTTTGATCGCTGGTTCAGTGGACGGAGCGAGAACAACGCGCGACCTCCGCTATTGCGGGAGAGCACGACCTCTGGCGCGATGTACGAACTCGACGGTCGGCTGGAGACTGTCCGCGGGGACCCCGCGTTCATGCAGGTTCTTACCCGGTACGCGCAGGGCGAGGACGTCTGGGCGGGGCTGGACGCGGAGGCGCGCGCGAAGCTGGCGTGGTACCTCCTGCGGAGCTGCGTGCCTGTGTCGAGCGTGCTGGTGACGCTGAAGCAGTTCGCGCGCGCGGCGCACGAGACGTGTGCCGGGCGGCCGTGGCCCGAGGGCACTGACGACGTGGTGCTGCTGGACGAGGGGATCAAGCAGGTGCTGTACGCCGCAGGCTCGGGGATCACGTACTCGTACGGGTCTGTGTGGGCCACGAGGAGCCTGGACGAGGTTGTGAGGTGTTGGCAGGCCTAAGGGTGGAGGGGGTGTGGGGACACGAGCGGGAGAAGATGCGCAGAGGTGTTGGTTGATCGCCTAGATGGAGACGTCATTTGTATATTAGGAGCCATAATGTAGCGTTATCATCGTTTATTTGTCTGGAAAAAGCTGATAGTGCGTTCGGGGTTTACCAGCGCTGATAGACCGAGCTCCATTTAGTTTAGTTATCAACTTGATGCACTTGGGATGCGGCTCAGTTTGGACCGGGGCCTTGTTATCGCGAAAAGAGTGCTCGGACACTTGAATTCTGCGTCTTGGTACCTTGAACTTCGAAGTTCCAGAGGGAAAGTCTGTACATCTGAACTGGAGCGGAGTCCACCATCTCACCTATCAACGAACATCGCAAAATGTGTGCTCGAATGTTCTATGTCTTGTCAAACTGAATCCCGAGTCTTTCAGGGGGAAACTCTCGACCACAGCAAATCAACCCACCTGTCAGGATCTGAGCCAGAGCGCAGCCCATCAACGCATCTACAGTATCCACAGTCGGGCACAACGGAAGCATCTTCATCAGCCTAGGGTTAGGCAATCCCCGGACCCCGATAACACGGCGGTCTGATTCGCGCGACGTCATCATCATACACACAAGCGAAAATAGAATCCATATGCATATGCATGTAACGACAGAAAGGCGTACAAGGGATCTATCTAAGGTAAGTATGGATGGATGGAGCGAGGGTGTGGGTGTTCCGGGTTGGGCCGGGCGGCGGGCCGGGAGGTGATCTAGAATACAGATGGGCATCGGCGCTGGGCAGGCGGGGCGACTAAAAACACATATGAATAGATAGAGTCCGGTTTTGAAGGGCGGGGCGGAGGCGGAAGAATGTGTTTTCAGGGGCGGTGTTTACTCCCGGATGCCGTCGAGCGAGCTGAGCGAGGATGAGGAGCGCGAGATGTGCGATGCCTTGGGGCGGAGGACGCCCTGCGCGATGAGGGTCTCGCGTCGCTGCGCCACAGCCTGCGGTCACCTCTTATCAGCATCGCGTGAATGACACTCGTAAACTTGTGCACGAACCTCGTTGAGCTTGTTGAGCATGTCGACGGTGGTCTCCCAGTCGACGCAGGCGTCGGTGATGGAGACGCCGTACTTGAGGGCCTGGGGGCCCTCGGCGGGGACGTCCTGGCGGCCGGCGTTGATGTGGGACTCGATCATGACGCCGACGATGTTGCGGTCGCCCGCGCGGAGCTGCTCGCAGATGTTGGCGAGGACCTTGGGCTGGTTGTTGTGGTTCTTTTGCGAGTTGCCGTCTATAAGTGGCAGAGGTTAGGGTGGAGTGGTGGGGGAAAGGGTGAGGGGGGACTTACGGGAGCAGTCGATCATGACGGCGCCGAGGCGGCCGGGGCGCGCCTTCTCTATGGCCTCGGCGGCGGCGCGGACGTGTTCGCGCTCGTAGTTGGGGCCCTTGTTCGCGCCGCGCAGGATGACGTGCACGTCCGCGTTGCCTCTCGTCTTCACGATGGCCGCGAGCCCCTGCTCGGTGACGCCCATGAACGCGTGCGGGTTGCTGCTCGCGCGCATGGCGTCGACGGCGATGCCGACGGAGCCGTCGGTGCCGTTCTTGAAGCCGATGGGGAAGGAGACGCCGGAGGCGAGCTCGCGGTGGAGCTGGGACTCGGTGGTGCGGGCGCCGATGGCGCCCCAGGAGATGAGGTCGGCGATGTACTGGGGAGAGATGGTGTCGAGGAGCTCGGAGCCGACGGGGACGCCCATGTCGGTGAGGTCGCAGAGGAGCTGGCGGGCGGTGCGGAGGCCCTTGTTGATCTTGAAGGAGCCGTCGATGTCGGGGTCGTTGATGAGGCCTTTCCAGCCGACGGTCGTGCGGGGCTTTTCACTGGGGGGGGGGGGAGTTGGTATAGGTGGGTTAGAGTAAAGATGCGGCGGACTCACAAGTAGGCTCGCATGATGATGTGGAGGTTGGGCCAGTCGGCGAGCTTGCTCTTGAGGCGCGTGGCATAGTCGATGGCCTGGTTTGTGCAGTGGATGGAGCAGGGGCCGACGACGACGATGAGGCGGTCGTCGCGGCCTGCGATGATGCGCGCGGCGGTGTAGCGTGCGCGCGCGATGGTCTCGGTGCCCTTGTGCGAAGAGACTATTTCATGGCGCAGAAGCGCGGGCTGGATGAGGGGGTCGTAGCCGATGACGCGCCTGTCCTTGAGGTAATCCTCGACCTGGGACGGGTCGTCGAGGTCGGGGAAGGGCGTTGTGGCGGCGGAAGAGTTCGTTGCGGCGACCATGTCTTCGTCGTCGTCGTCGGGGGCGGGAGCAGCGGTTGAGAGGCTGGCTGGGGGGAGGTGTTGAACCGTTTTAGCGAAGTCCATGGCCGGCGAGGGTTATATACGACAAGTGCTGGGACTGACTCGGGCGGTGGCGCAAAATCTCTGCGATCGGGTCCACGCACGTGGCGGTGCCGATCGAGTGTGCCGCGCTGTGATTGGGCGGCCTATTGGGTCCGATCTAAGTCCGCTTTGGACTCGAACGCGGTCGTTTCTCATTGCGAACCCCACCTCGCGGGTCGTGCCGTGCGCGCTTTCGTGCGCACTCTCACGCCGGTTTCCTCCGCATTCCACTATGTCTGTCACGCTCGCCCCGGTACCCGGTTTCTGCATCAAGTCCTCCTCTCTCACCCAATGCGCCTACCCCCTGCGCCCACTGTCCAATCACATCGCCCTCTCACCGCCCCCAGCCACCCTCCCCATCCCAAAGTCCCGCAAAGTGTTCGTCAACATCGCCTTTGACCCAAACGTCCCCGCGCCCCCGCCCGGCAGCCATGCCGCCATCGACCGAGCCATGGCCGCCCTCGCTGGCCCCGCCCCGCCAGACGCTGACGCCGACGACTACTTTGTCCCCCTCATCGTCTCCGACCCCAGGCAGGATGTCGATAAAGGCAAGTCCTCGTCAAGTATCCAGTCTCCCGCCTCATCTTTGATCCGACGCGCCCGCATTCTATCGTCACTCGCCTTATATGGTCTTTGTCGAGTCGACGTATTATGTCTGTGTATGAACGCAACTGCTATCAACTGTCTATTCGTTGGCAGTATCCATCCATCCAAACGTGATGGCACCTCATTGGTCCGCATCCAGCGGCGCGTTTCATTCCTTTATTATCACACAGCGCAGGCCACAATGTAACCACATCAATAATCATTCGCGCTTCGATGCCCAACGCTGAGCGCCCGGTGATAGATGCAGTCGTGCTAAGCTCAGCCTCCCTTGCATCTGGCATCTTTCTGTTCAGGGATACCGGTCGCAACAGAAACTGAGCTCGCTGCACTGTTTCTCTTCGTTTTCCTCATGTCTCTTCTTGCTGCTGGAGTCGCTGACCAGAAATGACCGTTTTTCTCAGCCGGAAAATCTGCCGTAGTCTTCGATGCGATATTCAACTCATCGCTCAAATCCAAAGCGCTAAAGTCACTAGAATTCAAAGCATTTCTCATCGGTAAGCGATGCACCTCTCGTTATCTCTTCTTTCCTTCTCGTCTCCTCTTTGATTCCCACCACACTACCTGCTCTAACCCACGGAATATTGGCCTGTCGGGTTGGGTCTTCTCATACCGTACTGCTGGGCCTCCTCTCGAGGGCACCTTCTGAGATCTTGCCAAACACGTCGATCGTGTCACACCATCGTACTACGATCATCTCTCATTATCATGGAGAGATACTCGGGGTATTGCTATCACCTCTCCAAGTATGCATCACCAATGTGCCGCGCCGATATACCCTCATGCTTCGGCCTTGCTGCGTATTTCCGCTGGGGGCCGAGAAAAGGTGCTATTTGCGAGCGCTGACGTCCTGGGGCCACAGAGGCCGGGCGCCGTCCCCCGTGGCGCTGCTTCCTCACTATACCTCTTGCTGCCGTCCTGTGGGATATGTGGGTGCGCGGAAGCTCCGTTCGTTACTCGACAGACGACCTACCAAGCCCCCGGTACTTTCTTCGTCTGTGGAGCAAGCGACATCCTCTCGCTCTTTTCACTGCCTATCGTACGATGTCTCATATCCGCGCGCGGCACTCTTTGTGGCGCCCTTCTGCGTCAAGATCCCCTCGTCCTCTGTTGGCCTATCCTATCCGACTGCGTCTTCCCATACCGCACCCCCGGTCCTCGTCTCGCTGCCCGTCAGGGGCTCCTTCTGGCGTCTTTACCAAGCTCGTCGAGCGTGTCACCTTCTGGGGGCAGGCATCCTGTGAGATTCGGTGCGCGAAGCTCTGTCTGACCCCATGCCAAGCCACCACGCTTCCCTCGTCTATACTTGTCCATCGTCTCGCGTATCTCGATGAATGCAACGCTCTTTTTGGCGAGAGACGTTCGTTGCACAGCTGATCGCAGTCTTCGATGCGTTTGTGGCGCCCTCGCTGCCCTGGTGCTTTGCCCACCCTGTCTTATGTTCGTGTCCACAATGTCACTTAGCGGTAGCACGAGAAAGAAAACCCATATCCGACGCAACCTTCATCCACTCGAGAAACCTACCCTCGTCTCTCGTCAGTGCGCCCAAGCGGTCGGGTCCGTGTCGTTGCCCCAGCCCCACGTTCTCATGTGCATCTGCGTTATCTTACCCCCCCCACCGCTATCGTCAACAACACGTCGAGGTGGATCCACTCCACCGTCCGCGAATGTTCGGCCAACCTACCGCCCTCCCGCCGGCCTTGGCGTGGTGGACTTTCGATGGGCTCTGCAGCCTATGCGTATTCGTTGAAACCGAGGCTTGGAGGTGGGAGCCACGTCGGCACCGAAGTGACGTCGGTATCATCTTACCATACCCTCGAGTCAGCCAGTACACTGGGTCCCTTCACACCATGCTCGTTGTTAGACGGGCTCTGTGGGACGCCCTTTCCTACCCCTCCGCCGCACCCGAGCTGTGGGGACCCAGTCGCGTTGCGTTCACATCGCAGTCCTGCCAGTGTGTCTAACGTCAGTCGCGCACTATACTTGGGATACATTGCGATTTGAAATTGGCCCTCGATATCGCGAGCTTTATGCCAGGGATTGCTTCTTTGCTGGAGCTCCCACAACCCTATGTTCAGTCCCACATCCCCACGCCTGGCGAAACATCCAGGTACCCGCGGTAGCGCATCCTATTTGATCCTGAGGGCATCTATCGCCGATGGCAGAATGACCCTCCTGTTGGTGCAGGACACGAAGGTGATATGATGCGACCCCCGGTAGAGGTTGATGAAGTTCCTGCTGCCTGGCGCTCGTCGCCACCAGCTCCGTGCCATGTCCTCGTCCCGATTGCGCGGGGGGCGGGTTACACCCAGTGGCCGAGTCGGCGATACAGCCTGGGTGTCCGTCTCGTTTCGGGGCAAATCGGCGAGTGGTATATCGGTATATCATGTAGCACTTCGTACCAAGGTCCTGTTTGCTTGCCGTGGCATACATCCAATTCGCTCGGGCATCTGTCAATATACCGTGCCCTTTTGTCCATGAGTACCCCTCTTTCCAGGCGTCTTCGGCTTCTCCAATGACAAGAGGGACAGCCACGCCTGGTTCTAATGTATTCACAAACGCCAGATACCCTCAAATATCGTGGGCGATCCAAGTCGCGCCCTCAACTTCCCCAAGCTCCATGTAACCCTCGTCGTAGAAACCCCGAGTCTGTCTACCTTTCCATTTCTCATCTGTCACCCTAACCCACGCCGACTCTCATCTCACCACAATCTTGCCTTCCCGATATATCCAATGCATCTTATCGCTCGAGGACCTCTCACCCTAACCCACGCTCGCACTGGCGATCGTGCGCTCGCTTCCAATGACGTTCTGCGCATCTCAAATGCATTTAATGGCACCTGCTGGCTCGCTGATCTGGTTTCCCCGCTGTCTCCTCAATCACACACTACCCTCCACTGTTCAGTGCGAAGCTACTGCACTCCGTTCTCGTCGTCTTTCCTTTCTGCGTTTTCCATCCTCATTTTGCACATTCGCTTTCTGATGGTTCGACGGATACTGACTGCGTATTATGCTCCTATGAATAGAACTCGCATTGCAGCGCATAGAATTCCAATCTGCCCCGCCAAATTCGCCTCCGACTGCTCAACCACCACTCCTCCTCTCCCGCCAGTTCGGCACACCGAACATTGCATCCAAGGGGAAGCTGCAGCCGCGCACAGTACACATCCCAAAGGCACTCTACTCTGACCAAGGCGACAGCGTGAGTGGTAAGGACAACCAGGAAGCCCCGAAGAAGGCTCTAGTGCAAGAGCTGTCCTCGGATGGGAAAGACGAACACCCTGCGTGGAGTTGGGAGCTCGAGCAGGGCTCGGGCAGGGTCAAGGTTGTCGTGCGGGTGCCGAGGATGGTGGGTAGCTCGTCCTTAAGCTCTCTTCTCCCCTCCATCGCTTTTCCTTTTTCTTCGAGTTTTTCGCAGACGCGAGGGTGCGTCCGCTCGCTTCGGCTCTTTCGTCACACCCGCGCCAAGAATACTGCATTGCCCCCGCGTCGTACATCTCGGGGCGCTGCCTATTCCTCTATCTCGTTCCACAATTACTTAGCCTCGCACTTCTTCATTGTGGGGTTCTCTCTTCTCTTACGCGCTTTTGTCTTCTTTTCTATATATTCTCATGCTATGCATCTTCTTCACTTTGACCCATCTCTGGCTTTGGTTGTCCCAAAATCCCACCGCTGTATCCGTTTATAGCTCGGGATCGGCATCTCTGATACCCGTACCCCGCATTCTGGTCTTCTCACTTCCCCCCTCTACTCTGCTCGTTGCTTACCATAGGCGGCTCATTCACCTACAGACGCGCGAAATAATACCGACCGCCACGCTCGACGTCGAGCCTCACCGTATCGAGTTGCGTGTGCCGGGGATGTACAGCCTAGATGTCGACTTCGCGTCAGAGGACTTGGGAGGTAAGTTGGACAGGGAATTGGACGTAGACGGAGCTACTGCAGAGTGGAGGGTCTCGGAGGGATTATTGGCAATATACGCGTGAAACATGCATGTAGGTGCTGAGTGCGATGTGAGTATCCCCTATGATCTGACGGTGGTTCGAGTAGATCCCGGCGTAACTGTCCACATTGTCGATGGCTTGTATCGTGTTTGTAACATGTTGCCTAGCGAGACGTTTCTTGGCATAGGGTTGCTTTCATAATACCTAACCGCAATAAACTTCGAGCATGGCTGGTGACTGTACGTTTGCTTGCCTTGCAACGCTACCCGAACCAGACCTGTTATACGGCTGGCTGGGACGTTGCGGAAATTAAAACTCCAGATGGCCCATGGGGACGATGCCCTTCACTGTCTTCCCACTTCTCTCTCTACAGTCCCCTGACTTCCGCTGGATGAGTTCAAATCATATCGTCATCCGCAATCTCAGGTGGAGAAGGTATCCACACACCATACAGGTGAGTACAACGAATTGAAAGGACCTGCAGAGGAAGCCAGGCACATCCGAAACATCGCGACTTGACATACTTTGGCCCCCAGATCCCACTCCTCTTCCAAACGGCGATGTCGGACAGTGTGAAAGATCAGGGTTCGCGCACCACCTTCACTGTGTCCCAGCCCGCGATGTTTATTGAATGCAGCACCTCCTTTGACGCTACCGGTGGCGATACACGAGATTGCCGGCTCAGAGCCACGGGGTTCGGAATCTTTAGTACGGCCTCGCGCACAACGTCGACCAACGACAGCACGGGCTCTTCATCCATAAAGTTCCTGCCAAGCAGGACGTCCAGTGGCTTCGTTTTCTCTGCCACTGAACCTCTATCCTCCCCTACGGAGAGCGGATTCACCTCGGCAAACGACCTCGCTGCTCTTCTTGGTGGGATCCTCTCTGGCGTGACCCTTCTTGTAGTTACCGCCCTGCTATGTATCCTCAAGAGGCGTCAACGCAAGCGTTACCAGAAGCCGGAGAAGCCCACACACCAGCAGATAGAACACATCGATATACTTCCCGCTGACAGTCCGATGAGGGTAATTCCCCAGCCTCAAATTGGAGTACCGGAGGGCATAACTCCAGAGGCTCCTCAGCAGCTCGAAGTTGTCGTACCAATGTCTGCCAGGATCTTGTGAGCGACATATTGGCAGCTGACAGTGCTTTTTCACTGACATGGGCATCTTTCAGGAATGACGATAGTCTGGAATCTTGTCAAGGTGTCAATCGCTTACAGAGAAACAAGAGAACCAGGCACAACATCCGACTCCTAGGTCGAGGGATCTTGAAACTATCAAACTTGAGCCTGAAGACATGCCCACCCGATACACGGAGCATCGAGAAGAGCTATCCCGGAGGGTTCTTGAGCGAACGCTCGTTAGCCAGCCTTAGGGCCCTCAGCAATGCTTCTCCGGGGAGCATGTCTTTGCGAAGCCATGCAAGGACCGACTCTTCAACTCTCAACTCGCATGACCTCCGAGATGCATACAATGATGGAGGGCATGCAAGTCATGGAGGAGGAGATTCGCGCGCTACGGACGGAAATTGCCCTGCAACACGATCAGCCACCCCCAGAATATAACTCGTGGCATGATTCCGGATACTTTTGACTGAATATTTTACCCTGAACATTGCCAGTATCCTGCACAAGACATATAAAATGGAAATATACTCTAAGGTGATATGCAGGTAGGAGAGTATCGTATGCGTTAAAGAGAGGTTTCCTTGGGCATTGGCACCGATGCTTCTACTGATGATGGGAGGCGGCGGGATGAATTGGAATACGGCACGTCATCTGTCTACTATTCTTAGGAGACAGGCCATCTGACCAGTAGATCACCCAGCCTCCGCCAACGACCCTCCAGTGTATTGCTCTTAGAGGTTGCGAAAGACTGAGCAGCAGTCAGATTGCATCATGCAAGTGCCGGACTCGAACAGGGTCGCGTCGCAATACTTACTATTGCCCGTCCAGTATCCTCCACTCCCGGGTAGAAGGATTGATGCGACCTGGCAGTTTGATCATTTACGGGTCCCCATGCGCTCCGTGTGCTGATAGATGATCATATTTGCGTACATTCAGCTATAAACACTGGAGAATCTTGTTGGAAGTCCTGGGCACTCGCACTCGCCCTGGACAGCCGACGACATCGTACGAACCGGCCCTGCAATGACATCCTCTGCGGCTAGTCTGGCTGCTCCTGTTGCTGGAGTCATTGCTGGCGTAGTCGTGTTCGCAACGGCTATGATCATATACGGCTACAAGAGCCAACGACGTCGGTGGCAACAGCAGCACGATGAAGAGGTTTTAATCGAAACCGAGCAGTGCCAGGTGGAAAACACAACCGTACTCCCTACCCAAAATTCAATCATCGAGGGCGCACTTGCATCACCAGCAGATGTTGGCAGAGCTGTAGACGGTGTAATGCCTGAGCCACCTCCAGTCTCAGGTATTCGAGCGGGGGCTGCGAATATATCTCCTGTGAATGAGTGAGCAATGACTCACAGCTGACAGGTACCTCTGACATTGACGATGTGCATGTCTTGCAGCAGCGAAACCCAGGCTCGAGATGATGCGGAATCGCACGCAGATGACCACGAATCGAGTCCAGCTGATGGATCAAACCATCCTGAAGCCACAAATCTCGGGCCGAAATACGTACGTGGACGACATGCAAAGGGCCGAGAAGCAGAGCTCTCCCGAATGGTCGTAGAGCGAGAACGCTCATTAGCCAGCCTTAGAGCACTCAGCAATGCTTCTCCAGCGAGCATGTCTTTACGAAGTCCTACGAGGACCGATTCCTCAAGCCGCGCAACCTCCAACATGCGCATGATGATGGAGCGGATGCAAGCCATGGAAGAGGAGATACGCGGGTTGCGGATGGAACTCGCCCTACTGCACGATCAGCAACCGCCGGAATATGACTCGTGGCAGGATGATGAACATCTTTGACTGTCCTTGCATATGATACCAAACATTGTAAGTATCTTGCGAATGAGTGGAATATAGACCAACTCGTAAAGATGTTCTACATTTGTTAGCTCAGAATGACCGGTCATTGTCAGTGGTGGCGTGTCTTGTTACCCTAACCTTGCCCTGGATCCGGGCTCGCTCTACACTTGCTTGCTCTTGACACTTGCATTCTCGCTTTCTATATGATCCCGCTTCAATGCAAGCACGCACGTCCCTACTACAATCACCTGGAGACCGTCACAAAGTCGAACCTCCCGACTTGCTCTTGACTACCAGCGTTCTACGAGCCAAATAGAGTGGGAGACGCCGAGACTGCATCAACATGAACAGCTGGGCCTCTCAGACCGAGACACTGTATCGCCCAGATGGTGTACTACTGGGTCTTGTAGTAGAGGGATAGACCTCCTGTTCATCTCGTTTACCCTCGGTCTCCCCATGGTACGCCGGTCCCACATAAGCACTGCCTTCCAGAGCTCCATACTTCGCACGGACTGTCTCCATCTAACAATAGCAGATAGCGGCGGCCACCAGATTTCCTCGTACTCGTCTGTGACGTGCTTGACGCAAGACCTCTAAGTCTGCGACTCGGGTATCTTCAATGTACTCGTGCGATCTTAAGGACAACGGGTTACCATCTGCCACACACGGCTGTACCGGCATGGGTGTGAAGTTATCTTTAGCGCTCGATCTAACTCCGTCCAACAAGCTCGCCTTGACCTGGTCTTTGTCCTGGAATACTCCTGGCTTCGCTTCCTGCAGTTCACCATTAGCCTTTCACCATTTCTATGTGCTAGTGGTTCTCACTCACTTGGTGGTGATAGGCGTGGCACCGCTCCAAGAGCATTCTGAAAGCTGCTGGGGGCGCAATGTCGTTCTAATTATGCTGGATGCATTGTCATGGGCATAGCAATTGGCACTGCTTCTTGGAGTATGCTGTTATCGGAAGCTTGCCTTGTTATCTATAAAGACCTATAAGTCAATGCATCCGTCTTTAAGCTCGACAGGTTCGAGTGGTGCTCTCCAGTAACATTCGTCTGTACAAGGTCACCCTGAATCCGCGACGGTTGAGTTCCAACCCACGGTGGCTACCCGACATGGCGTCCATCCCCCCTTCCAGGCTCAGCAGCGCTGCCTCCGACACAGTGACCGGGACACCTCCAGTTCCCCCGGTAGCCGAGCCCACTGGCGCCTTCCTGCCTTCTACTTTCACCACCGCTGTTGCCGAGACCTCGATAAGGACATCGCCGGTCGCGAGCCCCGTCTCCCAGGGCACTCGAGGTTCAGCGGCATCGATGAGCACTAATTCTGTGGCAGCGAGCGCACCTTCGCTCGTCACAGCTTGTCAGGGCCAGAGATGCACTCGGCGGCCCAACGTGGATGCCCTGGTGGGGGGGATTGTAGGAGGACTAGTCGGACTTATGACCATCTTGTTGTTGCTGTGGTGTTACACGAGGCGTCGTCATTTTCGTCGTCAGGGTTGGCAGGACATATTCGCGTTCGAAAAAAAGAGGGCAAACCGAGATGCACGACGGAGTCCCTGTCAGTGTTCAAAATGGCGGGCTCAATTTTGGGCACGAGTCAAATTCGACTCATCTGTCAAGCTACCTATCTCCCGAGCCACTTCCTCTCTCGAGTCAGTCTGCACCTACACCTAGGGAGACCAGGTGAGTAATGCTTCGGGTCTCGGATGCTTGTTCTTGCTGCTCATGTCTTGCCAGTGATTTCAGCAACGACGCTCATTCTCTAAGACAGGATTACGGATTGGACCCAGAGAGTCCAGAACGAGCTCCATATACGGAGTCAGTTCGCCCTCTGGCCGCAGATGAAACAACCGAACACTACCTGGGGAGACAACTGCAGCAGCGAAAACAAGAGCTGTCTCGGATGGTACAAGAGCACCAGCGGTCGCTCGCGGACCTCAGAGCAGTCAGTGACAGTGAAGCTTCGTTGGAGAGTGCTCACTTGCCCAATGCCACGGTGACTACTTCCTCTAGTCATACGACAGCGGCCTTGCGTGGAATTCTGGAGCAAATGGAAGTCATGCAGGATGAATTGCGTAGGTTGCGGACGGAACTATCATTGCTTCAAGACGGCCCACCTCCAGAGTATGTCTCGGTGCGCGATGACGTGGGCAGAGATATTTTTCCTGCGGGCTTGTAGCAAGGAATGACTAAAGCTGCGAAGTGTTTGAAACTAGAGATGTCTTGGTGGGTTATCGGATGAGACCCCTAAATGAGGTAAGTATTCTCGTTGCGAGAGGCGACTGCTCGATATATGCATGTGGCAGCATCCATCTAAGAAAATAGGTTTGCAACTACTATTTTGGTATGTCATTGATCGTGACTTTCGAATCTCTGTCATCTCGAGAGGAAAGCAGAGGAGTCATCTTCGCGTATTGTGTCGCCTTGTCGCGTAGCTCATCCGTGTTCCACTCTGATGGCCACGATATTGTAGGATGGGCAGGAACATTTCATCTCATACTCTCGGCATCAGCGAACATTGACCCTCGGTGCAGGATCAACTGTCTTGCCAAGTGGTCAGCCTCAGTGGCCCAGTTCTGCGTCGCCCGAGTCGTTGATACATCTATCTGACAGCTCAGGTCGTAAAAGCTTGTGTTGATGGAATTGGGCAGTGTTCATCTCCGCGAGGTGTACCATAAATGCATATTGATCAATCATGGGAGAAAGCCTGTCACAGACGGATGCTGTCTTCAAGGATATTATTGCCGAGCACGCCCGAGCCTGACTGTCGCAGAATCCACTGCGAACTTGAAGAAGCTCTAGATAACACTCTTTTTTGGTTGCTACCGCCGACCACTGATATGTGGTAGACCGACCTGAACTGCAAGGTTCGTCCTCCCCAGGAGTGACTTCTAAAGATTGTCCCCTTGACATATCACCCTAGACACCGTGATGACACCTTCCGGTATAGTCTGGTGAACGTCGAACATGATGTCTTTGTTGAACGCAGATGGTCCTTGATCATCACAGGGCGCAGCCGAGTATATATCCTCCCGTTCGGATGACTATATGCACCCAGTCATCTGTGTTTGGGCGCTCTGGTGCGGGTGAGTTCAAAGCTACTCTCGCCATAGTGAATTGGAAGCGGATAGCTGCGCAGACACTGAATGCGACATGAAATATGCAGGACGCCGGAATAGACCTTTCAAGCCGCTATGGCACGTCCTTGCTGGCACTCAGGGCATGTTTTGGTCTCCTCCGTGAGGATGACCTCCTCCGTGTCCGCACTCCCGTCTGCGCAAAATATCGGCTTCGTGGACGCTGATGGTGAGACCTTGACTACTACGACGAGGACTAGCCTTGCGCAAGGCACAACAGTACAGATGCAGAAGACCACCTCACAGGCGACAGTCACGAAAGTTGTGCAGGCAACCGTTACCGTTGTTGTCAAGCCTTCGTCGACTACAAAGCCGCTTGTCGAATCTTCGACATCACCTAAACTCTTCAGCTTGGGGCAGGGCACTATAGCGAAATTTGCAACTTTCACGTCCACAGCGACTTCGACGTTGTCGGAAGATACCTCGACGCAATCGGAAGCAACTTCGACACCATCACTAACAACCTCGACATTATCAACAACAATCCTGCCCTCTATCGTGTTCACGACGCCCACCGCGCTGACCTCGAGCTCAGTTACCAACGCCTCAACGGGCATGATGATGTCGCTGACGTCAATACCGGTCAAGGGAAACACCACCATTCATGCGACTCATGCCGGAGTAGTCGCAGCCGCCGTCGTCGGAAGCATGTCTGCCATCCTACTCGCTGCACTGGTATGGTTCTGTATCCGCCGCCGCCGGTACCGTCGTTGGGAAGACGAGCTGCGTTTACGGGAGAAGGGCGGGAGGTCGAGTATGTTCATCGAGACTCCCGTGAGCCCCTCCGAGCGCGGATACCAGCACGGTATCGAAGACGCTGCGGACATGCCTCCGGGAAACACCTCCGTGACAAGGGCCGATACTTGGCTCTCCAGCCTTTACACAAACACTGGGTGAGCATTGATTCCAGAGGAAATTTTCGTCATCTAACACCTTCGTGCCTGCAGCGTTTCCCAGGTTCCTGGGAGCCCGCTGGTTGGTGCAGACCCTTTCGCTAGCGTGCACGATCCCCAGCAGAGGGAGGAAGAGCTAGCTCGGAGGGTTCTAGAACGTGAACAGTCCTTGGCCAACCTTAGCAAGAGTGTGCACGCTAGTTTACCAGTTCAGGGAAAAAGCGATCACCACGGGGACTTGGGCGTGTCTAATCCGATTGGGCCTATATCACAGAGGATGATGGATCAGGTGGAGGACATGCAGGAGCAGACACGAAGGATGCGGATGGAACTGGTGCTACTACACACTAACCCTCCGCCTGAATATGGAACACTCTGAAAGTGCGTAGTTCAGGTGGTCATCAAAACAGACATTGTACCGGGGACGCTTGCGCCTCAATGAATGACAAGAATCATATTGAGACATTCATCGCGTGAAACTAGTAGTACTGAAGGCTAAACATTAGGTACTAATATACAGTTGTTGTTCGTCGTAAGAGTTCGTACACGAAAGCGATCGAAAGCATCACACCCTCCCCACTCACAACTCCGCCTTGGCCTTGCCAGTAGCCTGGTAGAACTTGCCCTTCACACTGCTCGCTTGGCCCTTTGCGCTGACACTGCTAGCCTTTCCGTGAGCATAGTCCGAGGCGTCGGCCGCCTTCTCGTTGGCGTAGCCCTTGCCCTGCTCGTATTTTTCGTTGGCGTACGCTTTGTTCTCGTCGTACTTCTCGCCAGCCCAGTCCTTGGTCTCCTCGTACTTATCTCCGGCATACCGCTTGCTCTCCTCAGCGTGGCCACTGAGGATGTCTAGGGCTTGACCGAGTTTCTCTTCGGCGATGTAGACACCGGAAGCGAGAAGGGAACGGAGCTTGATGTACAGAGCCTCAGTCTTGGTTTGGGTTTGCACCCACCGGATACGCACCTCCTCTGGAGAATTAAGTCAGACCAATTCAACGCGAATTGAAGACCATGAACTTACGAAGCAGACCGGGCCTCGACGTCGGGAGAGCGTCCTCGGAAATTCCGTGCTCCCTCAGGTAAGCCCTGAGTCTCGCATCAGGCCACGTCAGGTAAGCAGCAGTACGAGCGCTGTAGTCGTTGTAACTAGAAACGGCGATCAGAGATTGGTCTGCAGCGGCACGGAAATTGTACCTACTGGTCATTCATGTACTTGATCAGCTCGTCACGCCTAACCTGGGCATCAGATCGCAGATACCCATGTTCGATCAACCAGTCGCGCATGTCGCTATCCTTCCATGCACCCCAAGCTGTGTCCTTGGCGTTCAAGTAGTTGTCACTAAGGTGGGATCTAAAGGTGAGCATACATTCAGCGCATATAGCTGGTGACAAGGTCGACTTACGCGACAAGCTTCTGCATCTTCTCCTTCTTGAGCTGGGCATCGCTCTTGATGATACCGTGGTCGATGAGCCATTGCCTTGTGGTACTCTCGTCCCAGGTTGACCAGACGGGTTCTGTGACGTCATAGTAGTACATGTTCATCTTCTGGTAGAGCTTGTCCCGGTTCTTCTCGAAGTCAGACTTGATGACACCGTGCTCGACCAACCATTGGTGCTACACCGGGGCAATACGTGAGCAATACGTCGCACTAGACAAGCCAGTGAACGACTCACAAGCGCCGAGTCCGACCAAGCGTCCCAGACGGGGTTCGCCGTCTTCGCATACGCATCACGCATATACCCCAACAGCTGTTCCCTAGTCGCCTGCTGCTTGGGCTCGATTACACCCTTCTGCTCCAAGTACGACCTCAGCCGGTTGTCATCCCAAGTCGAATAGACGTAATCCTTGGTGTCGTCCAACTTCTTCGCTGCCGTCTGCGTAGCCTGCGCAATCACCGAGCTCGCAGACTTGCTCGCCTGGTGTGCAGAATCGCCGTAGATAGCCGTTGAGGCGGACTTGGACGCGGTCGAAGAGAGTGAAGACGCGTAATCCGTGTAAGACTTGTACTTTTGCTTGGCGAGCAGGACGAGCTGCTCGCGCGGGCCCGAGGGGTTCACGACGCCCTGCTCAAGGAGGAATTCGCGCAGCCGCGAGTCATCCCAGGCGTCGAACGTGGAGTCTTTGATGCCCTGGAATGACTGCTGCGCCTTGTAGTACGAGTCCTGGGTCCATGACGACGCAGAGTTCCAGTTGGCCTTTACGAGGTCTTGCAGTTCGTTCTTGTCGTACGATTTGGGCACCTCAATATGGTGCTCATGAAGCCAGGAGCGTAGTTGTTTCTCGTCCCATTTGCTGTATTCTGCACACAACGAAAGAGGTCAGCAAGACACGCCACCAACATACGCCAGCGCTCGAACGCTAACCGGGATCAGAGCCAAACCAGGAGGCTTGGACACCGCTGAAGGCGACGAGGAACGCTAGCAACAACGACGGACGCATAGCGGGAGAAAACTGGGGCTAAATTGCGGCGGACGCGCGACTTAAGTAGGAGGACGTCGCGCTTGCGTCGCGAGCGGGGTGCGATGGCGTCCGTGACGTCAATGACGCGCCTGCAGTGCATGTCGTCACCACGGTCACGTGTGCGGAGTAACGCGCCTGTCACAATCCACGCCTTAGGTATTTGTTGCACCGCTGTCGGCGGCACTGTCTCCTTTGGCCTGTCGTATATCTTTAGCGAGGCATAGTTACATCTTCCAATCGTATGAATCAACAAAAGGCCTGTTTGGTTCTTGTTACGCAGTCGAATGAACAGGAAAATGCGCCTTTGGTACCTTTCAGGCTCGCCACCCGCTGTCAATTGGCGCCACAGGCGTGCCTTTGCGCAATCCATCAGCCAAGACGTGGAGCATCTAGAACCTCCTGGTACATACACGAGCCTTGCTACGCAAGAGGACCACGTCAGTCGAGGATCGCAGAACGTAACTGTGGCGGAAGCAGATTCCACTTTCAGGGGAGCAATGCACGTATCTCGCTGGCTCGACTGAGCGTTCAACCCGGTAGTCAAATGAACGCTCACTTGCGACTGCAGCCAGTCTTGCGATGCGTAGTGAGGCTTCAGGTTTGGGTAGGCATACTGTATTTCCGTAGGCTGGGGTACAGAGTCCCTTTTCTTCAGCTTGGTCGGTGCTCGGCGCGGGAGCGAGTCCCTGCGAGTCACTGCGAAGATGCCAGGAGCAACGCTGCGAACCATCCGAGAATACTGGCAGGATGATTTGAATATATCAGCGCTTTGAATACTCCATGAATTCGCGAGAGCTGGATTGCGTTCCTTGCCGTCTTCGAGAGGCTACCGGTGACCTTCGTAGGAGTCCACGTTACAGGGGAAATCACGCGGGCGGAAAGAACACATATGTCCTCTACGCCGGTCTGATCACGCCTGTGCTGGACTGAAGCTATGAAGCTTACCGTGCAAGTAGAGAATCACCCTCGACCTCGGCCAGGCAGCTCAAGCTTGTGCAGTACGTAGGAAGAGACAAGGTCCCCCAAATTTGAAGGCGACAAAGACGGCGAGGGTTCAGCGCTGAATGCAGAGCCAGAGTTCCCTGAGGACATAGACAGAGGGGACGGTACAGTACCGCCGTGGCGGATGAATGATATACCTGGATACCCCGCGGGGCCCCGTACGGCATCACCGGCGAGCACAGGCATCCTGGACTCTCCGAGCAAGGAGTCCGGGACACTGAAAAGATTCAGTGACAAGCGCTCCCTTCCGCCCATGCCCGGGCACCGTCAAGGTCGAACCCGCCGGTTTTATGTTGATGGAGACGAGTGATAAGGCGTGATCATGACCAAGACTGGCAGGGGGCTGACTGCAGAGTGCAGTATGCATACCTGAGTCATATAAAACCAAGAAAACCCGACTCTCACCAAAAACACATGAACGCCTCCGACTGTATTCACGGGGGAACCAAGCCCCTGTACCTTTCCTACGGAGCCCCTCCATCCCGTCTCTTCGCAGACAAAGAGAGACAGAGACAAAGCGGTCGACGATGTTCCCAGCATATTAGAGCAGAAACCAAGTCTGCGAAAGCTTACATGAAAGCAGACATCACCTGGCAAAGGCTGAGAGCGTCGAGGAAAGGTTGTGGACCGGACCGAGAGGAAGCGCTCAATACGTCGGCGATTGCCGCGGGTGGATCTGAGATCCCAATATTAATGCGTGATCAAGGATAGCTTGCGGTCGCCCTCAGCCCTCCATCTAAACCCTCATCCCCTCCATACAAACAACATGGTCAAAGCCGTCGTTCTCGGTGCTGCTGGTGAGTGCAAGTGGAATGGGTGCCGCGACCCGCCTTGACTTTGCGCGAATAGGTGGTATCGGCCAGCCTTTGTCGCTGCTCCTGAAGACCAACCCACTGATCTCCGAGGTGCGATTCAACTTGATGAGTATTCGCGAAGAGGATAGAAAGACTGATCTCTTTGAACATGGCTGCGTGCTGTTCTAGCTGTCGCTGTATGATATCGTGAACACGCCCGGAGTGGCTGCCGATCTCTCGCATATCGCGACGCCGGCCAAGGTGCAGGGATTCCTGCCCGCCGATGACGGCCTTAAGAAGGCTCTGACCGGTGCTGACATCGTTGTCATTCCTGCTGGTGTTCCCAGAAAGCCCGGGGTGTGTCTGTACCTGCGTCGTGAGATTGCACTCGTACTGACCCTACGCAGATGACTAGGTGAGAATATGGCGCAGACGCGTTCCACTAATAGCTCATCGACTTTCCTCCCCCTTGATAGAGATGATCTGTTCAAGGTAAGTAATGAATTTAGGGGGTTAACTAGACGAATGCCAATCCCATCTGGTCCTAGATCAACGCTGGTATTGTCCGCGACCTCGCCACAGGCATCGCAACGACCGCCCCCAAGGCTTTCGTCCTCGTCATCTCCAACCCTGTCAACTCCACCGTCCCCATCGTCGCCGAGGTATTCAAGAAGAACGGTGTCTTCGACCCCAAGAGGTAAATCTTTCACTACCTGAACGCGCCTAACCACTAACCAACCGTTCACGGACAGGATCTTCGGTGTCACGACCCTCGACGTCGTCCGCGCCTCCACCTTCGTCTCCGAAATCCTCGGCGACCTCTCTCTCGCCCCTTCCATCAAAGTCCCCGTCGTCGGTGGTCACAGCGGTGTGACGGTACGCTCCCTCCCCTACCCGTCTCCCTTTTCACCCTAACCCACAGCTCCCCTAACCTAGATCGTCCCCCTCCTCTCGCAATCCTCCCACCCGCTCCCCACCTCGCTCAAGGGCGACGCGCTCGACAAGCTCGTCAACCGCATCCAGTTCGGCGGCGACGAGGTCGTCAAGGCCAAGGACGGCGCGGGCTCTGCGACGCTCTCCATGGCGTACGCCGGCGCCGAGTTCGCCGAGAAGCTCCTCCGTGCGGCCAAGGGCGAGAAGGGCATCGTCGCGCCGACGTACGTCCACCTCTCCGCGGACAAGGCCGGCGGCGACGCCATCAAGAAGGAGATCGGGAAGGACCTCGATTATTTCAGCGCCCCTGTCGAGCTTGGGGTGAGTGTGATCAGGACTTGTTGTGGTGTTTGGCGTGCTGACATTATTGTGCGCAGCCTGAGGGTGTCGTGAAGATCAACTCCCTGGGTAAGATCAATGAGTACGAGCAGAAGCTCATCCAGGCTGCCCTCCCGGACCTCGCTACCAATATCGAAAAGGTACGCAAAGTCAGTAGAATACATCCTCCTGACGCTCATCGCTATCCAGGGAGCCTCGTTCATCGATGCCCCGAAATTGTAGGCTTTGATGCGGTCAGAGAAGTACTATGTATGTAAGTTCGAAGAAGTGAAGGAAGAATATCGCTGTGCTTGTATTCCCCGCATGGATTGTATGAGCTCCTGACTCACGACTCCCGTTTAATGGAAGATACTGCTCATAGATCTGTATTGGCAGAAATGGTATAGGGATACAGGATGCGCCGAGGTGCTTGTCAAACAACAAGCCACTCCGAAATACGGTATGAAGCAAGGGGAAGCCCAATAGCTACCGCTTGTCCGTAAGATACACAACGATCGTTCGATGGCGGACATATACGAAGCGAGAAAGCAGTTACACAGCATGATAGATCAACAGCGAAAGCGAGAAGATAATAAAGACATGGGCAAATCGAAGTCCGGATTTCGACATGGTTTTCACGGAACATGCATAAGATGCTTACAGATGCGGATGCAGATGCGGTGGTGGGGTATATGCTCATGCAGGCACAGCGACAGGTTTCCGTGCCGGTCTAGCTGTTGGCGTCGCATTCTCCTTGTCTTCCCGCTCGCTCATAGACGATGGGCTGCGCGCAACTTTTGAGGCTGGAGTCACCGAGGATGCCCGACGGTGCAGAGTTGACGGCCCTGCAGTCGCGGGTGCCGGGTTGGCAGAAGAGGTACGCTTCAGGGAGGACGGCGGCAATCTTGACTGGGTCGGGGTAGGTGTTCCTGCCGATGCCGCAGATGCCCGAGGCTTCGTCAGCGGGGGCCCCATAGCTCCCTGGATTTTCTGAGCGGATGCAGGTAAGGAATCTGCGCTCGAAGTGCTATCCATTGTCCGATTGCCGCGAATACTTTTGCTTAGCGCAGACGGAGTCTGGCTAGTCCCTCGCTTGGTGGTCTCCGACAGTCGTGAGGAAGGTCGCGATGTCCCAGGGGTCACTGGAATCGACGATTCTCGGCGGTGGAAAGTCTTGGTAGTCGCTGCGGCGGGTGTAGCACCAGCTGTTCCCTTTACTCCGAGGCGTCGTTTGAGCTAATGGGTGTCAGCAATCTAGGTCTTGCCACAGGATGAACCATACTCACAAGTTCTAGTTCCTGCTGCTTCGAGTCTAAAGCAATATTCATGCCATTGATATCTTCCTGGTGTTTGTTGCGCTGTTTCGTCAATTGCACGATCTTGATGTCTTTGTCAGACGTCTCTGCTTGCAAGACGTGGACTTGTCTTCGAAGCTTCTCGATTTCGGCAGTCAGCGATGCAACACGGTCATTCAACGTCTTCAACGCGACGTCCGCCTCTGCTTTCTGCTGTATCATGGTCTCCATGCTCGTCCGGGCTTGTTCCTCCCGACTTGAGATATCATCGATGGCCCTGCGTTGTTCGTCGACAATACGATTGTGCTCACGCTTCAGGCCAGACAGCTCATCTTGCAACTGCTCGATCTGTTGTTCGCGCTCAGCAACCCGTTTGGAATATTCGGTAGAATCGGTATCGCGTTCACGAAGATTGTCTTCCAGTCGCTTGACAGTGTCAAGAGCATATTGACGTTCTCTGTCGAGATCTTCGATACGATCCTCCCGCTCTTGGAGAGCCTGTGTCAAGCCATCGGTGTGCTCTCGCTCGGCGTGAAGCTCATCCTCGAGCTTCGACGGCAATGAGCATCTGCCTTCGGTGATATGAAGGAAATTGCATACCTGCTGCTTCTCTCTTTCTATCTCATCCCTAGCGTTCCAGGCCTCCTGAGCTTCGGCCTCTAGCTCACACTTGCGATTCTCAGTCTGACTCCAGTCAACTTCCATGTTGGAGATTCTTTCCTCGAGGACTTCAATCTCAGTCTGGAGCGTATTCCTGTCCTGAGTGAGAACCTGGATCCTATCGTTCATCTCCTCCGTATTCTTCCACTGCGCCTCAAGCTCGTTCTGCAGCATGCCGAGCTGTTCTTCTTTCCTGGCAACCTCCTGGCGCAGGTCATCAAGTTGGCCAGTGACTTCCTTATTCTCCACCTCCAGCTGGTCCACCCGGGTCACCAGTCGCGCACGCTCCTCCGCCCATGCGAACTCAATCTCGCGGTGGCGGTCCTTCTCCTCTTCGTTGACCTGCTCGCGCTTGACAACAAGAGCCTTCAGCTCGTGCTCGTCGTCTCCGTAAGATTGCCTTTGCATCATCGTCATCTGCTCGTTCGCAGCCTTGATGCCCTCTTGCAGCGCCCGTTCGCAGGCCTCTTTCTTCTCCAGCTCGCCGGTGAGTCTCTTAATCTCATCGTCCTTCGCGCCAGCGTCCGCCTTGAGCTTCTCCACCTCCTCCCTCGCAATAGCCTCTCTCTTCTCTACCTCCTTCTTCTCCATCTCAAGGCGATTGATCTGTCTGTGCAGCTGCCTCAGCGCCTCCCCGCTCGCCTCATCCATGACGCTCCGCTCCAGGCTCTCCTGGCGACTATTATCGACCTCTTCCTCAAGGTGCCGGCACGTCCGCTCGAGCTCCTGCACCTTCTTCTTCCACTGCTTCAGCGCGCTCTTGCGCTTCTCTGCGTCGCGGTCAGCCTGCTCGAGCCGCGCAGAGAGCATCCCCACCAGCTCGTCGCGCGCCTTCAGGTCGATCTCGTAGTGCCCGCACATCTCCTGCTGCAGCGAGAGCTGCGTCTTCAGCGACAGGATCAGATCTTCCTCACGCGAGCTCTTGCGCGAATGCGTGGTGTGTGGAGGCGTGGGCGGGATGTTCGCTTGTGGCGAGTAGAATGTCGTGGCATTTGTCGAGAAGGGGTCTGGCTCGGGTTGAGCGTAGACGACCATTGCTTCCGAGCGATCGTCGATGTCAGCCTCGGGAGATTTCATAGTAGAGCGCAGCATCGACTGGAACATGGTGTCGCTCATGGACCGCCCGCGTTTCGCGAGGCTGCCTTCCGGCGATACGGGGCGTGCCTCCGACTTCTCTGCCGCAGTCATGAACGACTGGCTCTTCTCCGACTCTGCAGAGTTGCCATCCGCCACTGAGTGGAAGACGGTCTGACCGAAGCTGAAGGATTTGCTTCGGTCCAGGGTATGCTCGGACTTGGCTGTCGCGAACGATACCGACTGGTTATGTTTGAGGGGCGTACTGCTGCGCCGCACTGGATCCGAACCGAGACCCTCTACGGTCTCCGCGGTGTCTTCAATTTCCACCGCTTCGTCAAGTAAGCGACCTTCAGTATCCACTGGGATGGTGGGCAGCTCGTGTTCTTGGGATATGTCAAAGATGTTGGAAAGGTCAGAGGTAGGGATAGCAAATGACGCAAGGCCTCTTGACGACTCTCCCGGAGTGCCAGGGTAGGGTGGCGCCAGCTTGGGCGGGGAGAATAGATCATTCATGGACGACGGGATCTCGTGACGCAGAGTCGATCCTGCCGGCTCGTTCGGAGCAGCTTGCTGGAGACGATCGTGGAAGGAGTTAGGCTCGGGCTCTGAAGCTACTGATGTGTCGGGTGTGATAACTTTGTATGCGTCGCGCGAGAAGAACCTGACGCTCTGCCCGGTAGCGGGGGTGTTCCGGTCTCGCAGGATTGAACGTAGCGAACCGAATTTGTTGTTGTCAACAGGTGTCTGCGGGGGTTTCGAACTGTCCTGAGAGTCTCTCCGCAGAGTCTCTTGAGATGGACGCGGAGAATCCGTTAATCCCCGTGGCAGCGATATGTCCGAACCTGTATGGTTCGGCGTGTTCAGAACTATGACATTTCATCATATAAGAGTGGAGAGTTTACCATTCAAGTTCAAGGAGTTTTTCAATCTCGAAGGTAGTGATAGCGATAGCTTGGCGGGAGACTGATTCTCGCTGTCCTCGCTCCATGGCATCTTAGACGCTCGCTTCAACAGCCCCTTTCGCCCACTCTTCGAAGGCGACGCCGGCGGACTAGCATTCGGAAAAGGCACCTCCTCCTGATTGTTATAGAACACGGAAAGGTTCGGGTGCTGCTCAAAGACGCCGTCCAGCACTGGAGGCTGCAACCCGGACTCCTCCCACTCGTCGTCGTCGCGGCCGTGCTTGGATGAGGATGATTTCAAGGCATTGCTGAGCTTGGACCACATGGCGCGCCCTGAGTGTTCAAGGCCGCAAAACGAGCACTGTAGGCAGCCGATTGTGGGGTCGGTGGAGGTGGCCGGTAAGAAGTGAACTGCCTCGTGCCACGCGCCATCACATGCATCACAACTGAACGCGGGCGCGTCAGTCACGTGATCGCGCACTCCTGGTACTGTACGCGGCGGCGCGACGCAGTTGATGTCAAGCCCTTGTATTCAAAACGACAACAAACGTAAAGTATCAAAATTGAACAAGGCGAATGCCCTCTGGAGTTGTACAGTACACCGTGTCCCTGGTCGACTGACCCCCAGCGCATGTGAGGAGACAACCTTTCTCAGACAAGGTAAATCCAAAAATTTGTCCTTGGGGACGCTGTACATAATCACCTTCAATGCGGAGAGAACACCAGAAGACCCCCTGTGCGTAGGGGTGCCCATAATCACCATATCCCCGCACTTCCGAGGCTTTGCTAAGTTGCAGTTTGACCTCGTGAGTCAGTTGGTGGCCATCTTCGCTGCCCATACCGGTCACAAGCAGCCAGCTGGAACGCCCCGTAAGTCATCATCAGGAGTTGTCGGCCTCTAGTTATAGTCTTCAGGCTCCAGCGTTTCCCCTGGCCAATACTCAGTCCGTCTGCAGTGTTTATTGAAGTGCAGTTCTCAGCATCCAGGGCCGTCTCCGGTTGATTGCGCGCTCGCACAAGGAGCTTCCAGCTCAAGACACCGATACGATTTCCATTTCTTCCGTGGCTCCGTTTCCGGTCGGTCTCCGATTTACAGTATTTCTGGTGATCCAGCCCGATGGCCAGGTTGCAGTAGGAACCCGACTGGAGCAGAATTGTGGCAAGCCTTCGTGTCAGGAGTCGAGCTCTAGGGCCAAGTAGCCGCCCATACCGTCCGAAACAAGCAAGACGTTGTGGGAGTTGATGACGCCTATCTGGACTCGGAGCCCCAGAAGCTTCAAGCTCAGGTATGTAAGTAGATGCTCTCGTCATTAGCTCGGACTATGATAAGCCAAAGAAGCAACCAGACATCACATCACCTCTGATAGTGGTGCACATATCAGATAGATTGGGAGGCAACGGAACAACGACGGCCTTTGGCGACGAGGGGCAGCGGCGTCCGTTGGCACTTCTATGAGATATCAGTGGAGAGAAGGGCGTAGTTGGAATTATGGCGGATGACCAGCCGAGTTTTCCAGAGAAGCCAAGTCGGAATGCTAGATAAGAGTCTGCTGAAAACGGACTAGCAGCGGGTGACTTGAAAATGACTGGCTGCAACGGAAAGTCTGTAACAGGTCCGGTGCGTTCGGACTCGGAGGGAGGAGCGTACAAGACCCGATGAATATTCGATGAATGGATGGACGTACGGTAATGACCCTGCGCTTGATGGGACAAAGCGACCTCAGCTCGTGGCCGTGCGGGGCGGACGTATATTTCCTCCAGAAAATCAAGTAAAAGTGGTTAAAAACCTCCAGGATATCCGTAGAATCGCAAGTCACGACAGAGAAATCCACAGCAGTCATGGCTTGTGATGTCAGTAACGTCCACAGCTGAGAAGGCGAGAAGACTGACGATAAGAGCCAGGAACCACACGCGCAGCACAGCCCTCCCGCTACTTGTCGCCCAATCCGGTAAATTCATGGATCGGTTATCCAAAAATTCCGCGAAATCAAATGGGTGGTTATCAGAGCGAAGGAGGCGCTTTTTATACCTTCGTCTGCCTTCCTGAGCGTGGACGCCTGCTCCGACCGTCAGTGGAGTGCGACTCGTCCCCTGGTATAAGGCCTTCCCCTCGTTGTCTCCTGCTCGTCATTCTCCCTCCGCACGACTCTCAGGATGGCGCACCGTACAGAGGTGAAAGTGAACCCGGTGGGATCGACCTCGGACTTCAACGACGATGACAGGGAGCTCGAGGCCCTGGGATACGTACCCTCCTTCAAGAGGGAGTTTTCCAATCTCGCGACGGTGAGCAGATTCCTGGACTAGTGGGATCTTGTGACCGGCCGACCGATCGCGAATATCTTGGTTCTCAGATCAGCTTCGCGTTTAGCATAATGGTGAGGGATCGCCGTCTCGTCTGAATCAGTGCTATCCTTGCCCCATTCGTTTCGCTCATAGATGTGAACGAATAGGGGCTCTGCTCAAGTGTGGCTACCACATTTAACACCCCGCTGCTATTAGGCGGACCAGCGTCGGTGAGTCCAGAGTAGTTAGCTTTCTACGGGCAACCTCCATATTCGTTGCAGGTGACATGGTGCTGGATATTGGGAGCATGCATGTGCTTTACCCTAGGTAAGGAGGAAGTCCCTGCTCTGAAGTCTGCAATCTCGATGTAATGATACTTCCAATTAAGGAGCGAGCATTGCCGAGATCGTCAGTGCTTTTCCTACCTGCGGTGGCTTGTAAGTCTATCCGCATTGCATTGCACCTATATATCCTTGATCACCCTTGGTCGGTCAGGTATACCGCGTCCGCACAGCTATGTCCGAAGAAGCACCGCCCAGTAGTGGGCTGGGTTGTGGGGTGGCTGAACATCCTAGGTAAATAAAATATTTTTGAACGCGCACCCGAATCCCAATGTATTGTATCGCAGGTCAAGTCGCTGGCCTATCGTCTACGGAGTTCGGCCTGTCCAACATGATCTGGGCAGCAGTCGTCATCGGCAAGGTAAGCCACGCCAATCCATTGCCTAGTACTCCAAACATTTACCCTTCCTGATTTTACTAGGGCGGCAATTACGAAGTAACGTCCGTGAGTACATTCCTACATTCGCCGGTCTACGGCCACCGTTGAATACTTCGCTGCAGGGTAAAGTCGTAGGCCTGTTCGCTGGGCTCCTAGTCCTCCACGGCATCCTCGTCAGTCCTTCACCCATCGGTATTCAGCGTCAGGACCAGTACTAATCATCTCAATACACCTCCAGAACTCGCTAGCGACCCGACACCTCGCCTTCCTCACCAAAGGCTTTGTCTTCGTCAACCTCGGCGCGACCATGCGTGCGTACGCCCTTCTTCCTTCCATCTTCACCCCCCATCCCCTTCCCCACAGTCTGCGTTTACTAACAATACGCCGGAACAGTTATCATAATCGTCCTCCTCGCAACGACGCCCCGGTCCGAGATGCACCCCGCGTCGTACGTCTTCGGCTCGGCGGGGCTTGTGAACCAGACGGGCGGATGGAACGGCGGGATCGCGTTCCTGTTCGGGCTGTTGAGCGTGCAGTGGACGGTATGTCCTTCATCATCCCTTTCCTTGTTTTGTGGCGCGTAATGGGATTGAATGCTGAATATTCGGACGCTGCTGTAGATGACGGATTACGACGCGACCGCACATATCTCGTAAGCTCCCTTCCTCTCGTCGTAAGAAACAGACATCAACCTGGGCTGAAAACGTAGCGAGGAAGTCAAGAGAGCGGCGTACGCAGGTACGCGGATACTATACCACTATGTCATCCAACTTGGCTTATTCACCTTACCTTCCTGATTCCTGCAGCGCCAACGGCGATCTTCATCGCGGTCCTGGGCACCGGGCTCTTGGGGTGGGTGCTGAACATCGTCTTGGTTCTGTGTTCCGGTCCCCTGTGCGTACTCCCCTTCCACAGACCATCCTTCTCCGCTCAACTTGAGAGGTAGTGAGAACCTTCCCGGCCCCTCCGGCGAAGCCTTCCTCGAGGTGAGTCGATAAAAATCGCACGTTCATAACCTCCCGATGCTTATATGAAAAGATTATGGCGCTGCGCATGGGCAACGCCGGAGCGTTGGTTTTATGGGTACGTCTGAAGCATGAAATAGGATATAAATGCGGGGGTTGAATTGTTCCTGTGGGTAGGCGTTGGTGTGCTTGACCGCGTTCTTCGTGTGCCAGACCGCGCTGCAGGCGTGCTCGCGCACCGTGTACGCGTTCAGCCGGGATCACGGTACGTTTCCCTTCTCCCTACCTCCCTCCTTCCTCTTCCTCCTTTCCCCTACCCCAAACTGCCATCAAAACCGAACACTGAACATCGAACCTACGCACCCGGTAGGCTTCCCTGACGGCGGCTACCTGAGCCACAACAGCGCGGCCACGCAGACGCCGCTGCGCGCGATCTGGGCGACGACGCTATTCAGTATCCTGCCGGGGTTGCTCGATTTTGCGAGCCCCGTCGCGGCGAACGCGATTTTCTCGCTGTGTGCGATCGCGCTGGACTTGTCGTATATTATTCCGATTTTCCTGTGCGTCCCCTTTTCCCCTCTCGCCCTTTTCCTCCTCTCCTCCTTTCGCTGATGATGATGTGGGGAATGGGGCAGACGACGGCTGTACAGGAATCACCCGGAGGTGCAGTTCAAGCCCGGTCCATTCTATATGGGGGGTGGACTGCTGGGGTGGGCGTGTAATATCAACTGTTGTCTCTGGACGCTATTTGTATGTGTGATTTTCTCGCTGCCGACGGTGTTGCCTGTCACGCCGCAGAACATGAATTATGCTTCGGTGAGTAGAGGTGGCGATGGTGTGTTTTGGTGGTTCGTGTTAATGAGTATGTTTTAAGGTTATTACGGGAGGTGTTGTTATTCTGTCTGGGTGAGTCTAGTCTTGCGGTTTCGAGGGAGGTGCATGGTTGACTTTGGCTTTTTCTTGAAGTATTTGGTATATCGTTGGGTACGTCTAGGTCGCTTTTGAATCGCATATCGTTGTTTATACTCACCCTCTTCGCTGATGCAGCGGCCATCGGCACTACAAGGGCCCCACCTCCAACCTGCACGAAAAGGAGGGGGAGGGACAGGAGACGGAAGATGATGACGGGAAGAGGGAGAGTAGGGAGCAGGACCGGAAGGGGGATATCACAGTGTAGGCATACTCCCCGCCCTTCATGCCCCGGACTAAGAGATTGGATATACTCAATTTATACACTTATCTATCGCTGCAAATTTATTGTATACCTTGCATGTAACGATGCTACTGTACGGACGGATGGCGAACCGCTCTGACTGTTAGTACGCTTGATTCCGGGACTTGCACTTCGGGACTTGCACTTTTTTGGGCCTTGCAAAAGGTTGTCCGAAGAAGATATCGAACAGGTACCATTTTGTAATACGTTCCAGAGTGCTCACAAAAATATTTTACACCGCCTCAGAAGGTAATTATAATAACTTACATTCCGATTCCTGTTCAGTTCCGATTCCTCTAGAATCGGTTTACTGTTCAGTAGTTGTATAGGGCTCTCTGGTGATCGAGAAAGCGAGCGCTTAACAGGGGTTATACCACTTACAGCCCGAATTACTCAAAATGTAATAGGAGCACTGTTCATAAATGGTAGGTGGACCGATCCAAATCTTACCGCCACCAACAAATAGGAACTACAGTGCCTTGCATAAGAAACTGACTGAACATCGCATTTCCGCCCGCGTTATTTGTTCGCGCCAAATATACCCTTTTCGGGTAGGTCTGGAAGGCCTTTCGCGAGACCGTTTGCTGGGCAAGGACTCGCAGACGCCCCGAGAGGGCTCAAAAGGCTTCAGAGAATGCATGGAATGTATATTCTAACACTACACTAAGGGCTGTAAATTATTATACTCTGCCCCCAGCTGTATGCCTCTCTACCCTCCCTCTCGATGGGTCTTTGCCGCACATTTGCCGATACCCGAAAAGGGTATATTTGGCGCGGACAAACAACGCGTGCAGAAATGCGATGTTCAGTTTCTTATGCAAGGCACTGTATTACCCCTTATGTCAAGGATTACCGTTTGTGTGATGGAAATTAATTCCAAATATGTAGGGTGGCACTGTCACACATCCCTCGGCTGCCTAATGGCAAGCATCCTGTTGCCTACGGTACAAGCTATCACAGTGTTGAAAACATGCTGTATACAGTAC